TCTAATTTTTATAATAAAATATTTAATTTAATTATACATAATATACTAATTAATTAAGCAAACATCTTATTTATTAAACATTTTAATAAGGTTTACTTGCGGTATATGAGAAACAAAAAAGAAAGTATGGATATTGTTGTTGGAAAGTAAATAGGAAGAAAGTGGGGATAATGTTATTTGATTATGTCAGTAATTTACTTACTACAGCTAACTTTGCTCTATAGTTTTTATGCTCTTACTCTTTTTTCTTAAATAGTCTTTTATTTTATTAATACAGTTTTATAAAAGAATATTTAATAAAGCTATTATATGCTTATTTCAACATTAATAATTAGTCCATTAATAATTCTTATAATAATCAAAAGAACAAAGAACCAAATTTCAGTAGCTTTTTTCTTAAGTTCATTATCAATTATGACCTATTTAATTTACATTTTAATAAATTTTTTTAGATACTAATAAATTGATAAGACTGATTATTAACTAAAAAATACTTCAGTGCTATAAATTTTTGATCTTTTATCAAGTAATAATCTTGCATATGTAAATTAATTAGAAATACATTAAATACTGACTTATGAAAATAATAAAGTCGCTAAATAATCTAAATTATCTATAAAATATTCCACCTTTATTGTATTTATAATATACAGTGTAATTGGAAATTTAGGGTCCTACAGCATATAAAATAGATAACAAATAGATTAAAATAATAATTTAGTTTTTGATTATTTTAATGAAGATGCTTTTACAATAGTTGTAAAGATTTGTATGATTTATCACTTCCTTTAAAATTTAAGCTACAAATATATTTTATTAAAAAAGTTTTTGTTAAAGTTGATATTAACTTCACAAAAATTTAAGGATTCTCAATAACTTTAAAAAAAATTAAAATTTATATTGAATGTGATATTTGCTTCTTTTTATATATTTATTAATTTGGCATAAAACGATCTATAGTATAAGTTTACGATCATAACAGGATCTTTGGCTGGATTTTTTATCATATACTTAGTACCTTACAAATTATAATTCAGGAAATAGGAGTTTGTTAAAAAATTAATATTTAAAAGGAAAAACATAAATGTTTCAGGTCTTTTTAATTCTATGGAAGAATGTCAAGAAGTGGATAAATCTTTATGTCAAAGTTAATTAAATATTGAAAAATATAATTAAAAAAAATAGATTGAAATTATTAAAAAACCTTTTATAAAAGAAGCTAATGTTTATGACAAGATCATACTATTATTTGGTTTCTTTATAAGTATGTATGGAATATTTAGCTTTATATATTTTATTATTAATTGAAATAATAATTAAATAAATTTATCTCAATTTAGTAGAATCCCTTTTCAAAAATTTCTAATCAATACTTTGATAGGTACATTAGAGACTAATTTTTTTGTCAAGATAATATCATTATTTCTTATTTGGTATTTATTTAAATAAACAAATAACTTTATTTACTATTTGAAATAAAAGCAACAAAAATTTAATTCAAAATTGTCTTTGCAAATAATTTTAATCAATTAATTTCTTTTAATATTTAAATTTAAATAAATAAATATTTTTTTTATAAATATTTGTTCAAAAATTTATATAATATTAAAATCAAAAATAAATTAGATAAAAAAGACTTTAATTGATAACTTGAAATTAATAAATATGTCTGTATGTATTTTAAATTTTTGTTTATAAAATTAAAAGATTTGATTTTCAATTAATAAAACAAAACTAAGGTTTGCTTGCTTAAAGTATCAAAGCTTTTTGAAGATGATGTTATGTGTTTACTACTTTTAATTATATTGCTTTTTTGAACAAATTAATTTTGAATTTTTATTTATAATTGTATTTTCTATCTAATTAAAAAAGTAAAATAAATTTTTAGTTAAATTATTCTCACAAAAATCAATTTTTAAAAGGTTTTCATGATGAATTTGTTTAATAGAATAATAGGAAACAAACATAAAAATGTAAAAAATATATTTAATATAATTACACAAAAAAAAATTAAATCAGCTTTGTAATCTCTAAGGACATATAGATTTAGCCCAAATCTGTAAGTCTTTAATTATAGATTTTAAAAAAACATTTTAAAGAACCTTAACTCCATCTATTTCTTTAATTACCAAATTTTCTATGATAGTGGAATAAATAATTTGAGAATTCGAACTATAAATAGGATGGGCTTTTATAACAAGCATAATACGGTCTTAAATTATTGACAAGTTACCTTATAAACACTTAGAGAATTTTAAAATAAAATCAATAGATTAGCTAATATCTTTTTCTTTAAACTCTTCTGCCTTTTCATTGCTACTAGAACAAAAATTGAAGATTTACTCCCAAATATTAGTAAAAAGCTAAAGAGTGATGTTTTAAAAAGTTTGGCTAGATTAAGCTAATTAAATAATGTTTTAATTATAGCAATCTTAATCAAAATAATTCAATATCTTTTAACAAAAATCAAGCACAATTTTTTTATTAGTAAAATACATGTGGTCTAATATCTTTTTAAAAAATAAATTTAAATAAAAATAATTTAGATTAAAATAAATTAAATACCTCTAGAATGAAATTAAAATAGTGAGAATTTTCTGACTAAGTTTCTTCTTTCTCAAGAAAATCCATTTTAAATCTAATTGCCAGATTTAAGTAAAGAGAAATAGTTTTATAGATCTGAGAGTTTTCTAATAGCTCTTACTTAGGAACTATTGTAAAGCATTTAACAATAATCCAAAAAACACGATTTAAAAAGAAATTCCTTTTTAGACCCATAAATGTATTTTCATAATAAAACTTAGGAAATCTCTAAACAATTGTAAAGAGATCTTCTAATATTATAAATACTTTATAAACATGAGAAAATCTGTTTTCTAATGTCAGTAAGCTGACTGTCTAGTCACTTAATATTTAAAATCTAAACATTTAACACTCTTCATTAATGTATAATTAAAGATAGTACTAAATTTTAGAGTAATCTACATATATCTCAGAAGGTACAGATTTAGAAATATTTACCATTAATTTTCTAAATTTTTCTTCATATTCACTCTTTTAAACAACTAAAAAATTTGTGAAATAAATAAATGAATAAAATTAATTTACTTTTGCTAAAACTATCAGAGTCAGTGAGGGATTTTAAATAGTAACACAAGTAAAGCAGAAATGTGTTTGGTAATATCCTACCTTTGAGCTTTTTGATAGTAGAATTCAATACCCAAATATTGAACTCTTTCTAAAAGAAATAGCTTTCAAATATGTTAGCAGCATTTTCAAGATTAATTGAAGCAAATATTACCCAATAAATTGTACTTTGGTAGAATTATTTTATTTTTTTTCTTTCATTCTTTAATTGTGGGTTAATCCAGTAGGCCATGTCTTAGTTAACTGATTAATTGAATAACAATATCTTTTTTATCATAGAAACATCAACCTCTGTCTCAAAAACCTTTAAATTTTATTTAAAAAGGAATTTTTAAAAGTATTTTTAATTTAAAAGTTATTACTTAATCTGAATTGCTTTTATTGTCAGAGAAAATAAAGTAATGAACTGACTCCATCATTGTGCAGACTTGACTAAATTAAACTTCATTAAGCTGTATAAAATTTTCAGGTAATTAAGAAAATATATTTAAATTAAACATTTTAATTGGGTTCAAAATATATTTTTGAAATATTCCCAAAATTTAAGACTACTCAAGATGAGATATTTAAGTATTAAACAGCTTTGCACCTATTTAAGACATGAACTATGTAAATTTTTCAATAGCAGCTATGGTATTTAGATCTAAATTTGCAAATTATTTTTGTGCTTAACTAAAAGATTCAAATAACAATTCTGTAATCTAAAGAAAATCATTACTCTTGCCAAAAACTTAGTAAATTTAGCTGAGAGTATCTTTAGAATTAAGGTACTACTTCATCAAACATTTTTGGAAAGTATAATAAAGGAGCATATTTTTCTAATAAAGTAGACTCAAAGATTTTATTACTTCTACAAATCTAATTAATATTTTTATAAATAAACAAAAAAGATAATTAAACATTACTATATTTTAAAGTAAACTAAAAAATTACAATTGGTTATCAATGAGATTAGAATGAATAACTAAGCGGGATAGTTGGTCCACAAATTAATTAACATCTTCAGAATCATGATCTTTTATCTACAAATTAAATAATAGCTCTATATCAAATTGTAGAGATTCAATAAAAGTAGAATTCAGAATAGCTAAGTTATTAATTGTTTCAGCTTTTATTGAATTATTATTATTATCGTAAGCCTGAATGAACTAGTCAGAATAATGGCTCCATATATGCAAGCAGCCTATCTAATCCTCTAAATTCACAAGATTTATTTTAGCAGATTACTTCAATAACTATATTATTAAAGGATATGCAGATAAATTCTCAGACTATTAAATAAAGCATGGAGTAATAGAAACTAAAAAATCCACACACTTAGAATTGAAGTCAAAGTATTCTATACTATCATTAGCAAATGAAAAATTCTATGAAATATAAACTAAAAAATCTTTAAACGCAACGTATAATTAAGCAGGTGAAGTAGATTTAGCTAGCAATTCGCAAAATTCAAAAATATTTGCTAAAGCTACATCGCGATCTTCTCTAGCCTAGTTATTTTACTACAAAAAGCCTATAAAACATGAAAGAATCACATTTAAATCCTTCTAATGAAAATAAAAAAACTCTTATTTGATTTCTAAATTAATTAAAAAAATAATTTAATATATTTTAAAAGTAAATTTAAGTGAAATCTATACTGTTACTCATGTTTTTAATTATTATCACAACTATTTTTAGCAATAGCTGGATAATACTCTATTGATCATGTGCTACACAGTGAATATTTTTGATAACATTTAAGGGAAATGCTATCATCTATAATCCTTATTTATCAAAGAAATTTTAGACTGTCTTTACAGTTATATTGACCTTTTTAGGAATATTAGACTCTGCAGCCTCGCTACAACTACTTAATGTATTTGAAGATTCAATATGGTCACAATCTATTTCATATTAATCTACTTCATTCAAAAATAAAGAAATCAATGTCAAAGAGGCAAATATACTTTAAGGACCTTTATTTTTGAAGTGACAATCCACTAGAGTTAAGAAATCTTCAGGTAAGGCTTCTTTTATCTCTAAAAGTTTAGTGTAAATAATAGCAATTATTACAAAAGGAAATTTGAATTTTTTTCTAAATTCACTCAAAGATTATTATTCAGTAACTTAATTATTAGCAAAATCAAAAGCAATTAAGCATAATTATGAGAAAAATTATTTTCTTTTGTCAGAGAAATTTGGCATCAAAAAAGTAGGAGACGAAAACAAATCTTTGATGTCTTTCATGAGCTATATGTATTTATCTTCGTGCACTTTGTTATCTAATAGATACTACCTTATAGAGTTTGAATAAGACAAAAGACTTAAGTTATAGTTCTCTTCCAGTTAGATAAGATTTACAAAACTTTACATTTCTTTAATATTCTGTTGGTAATAATCTAATTTAATATTTAATTATTATAATTAATTTTAAAATAATTAGTCTTCATTTAATAACCTTAAACAAGTGATAATCACTTAATAAAATATGAGCTAATTTTTAGTTTAATATAAATGAAAAAAGTGTTATTTTAACCAATTTATATGGATATCCAATGGTTAAAAAAAATAGTATCTATCAAGAAAAATTAAACAGATAAAACATTTTATATATATTTAATCATTTAAATTCATACACTTGCTTTAATTAAGTATTTTATGTGCTAATTTTTATTAATAAGTTTTTTACATTAAGCTAAATTTTAGTTTTCTTTTACTAATTTTTAGCTTAATTAGATTATTTTAAATATTTCTTTAATAATCAAACAATAAAAATGATCGTTTTTTAAATTTATAAAAAAATAATTAATTTTATTTTTAAAATTATTTTATATTTCTATGAGTGGATAATTAGTTATACTTTACAAAAAACTTCTAATTGCTTAGAACAATTACTATTTACTATCATTTAGAATAATTTATCATCAATATAATTAAAAGATATTCAAATAAATAATTAAGATATTTTGAACTTAGCAAGCTAATACACGCATTAAATTTTCTTAAGGAAAAAAAGGAAAAATTGAAAAAAATATAATTAATTAAATTTCAAAAAAATATTTAAAATAAAAAAACAAAAAGTAAATAAGAAAATGAAATATACTACAAATTTTTAACCCATATTGAAAAAGAGAAAGGAATACAAATATTTGTTTTACCCATAAGTTTTTAACATAATTACAGGTTTTGTAGTAGCATAATTACATTTCCTTATTTTACTTTTTGCTCATTCATAAAAGAATGTGGAATAATCAAAAAAAAAATAAAAATCTAATTACTCAATGACATCTTTTCTTAGCAATAAATAAATATATAAAAGTATTTTTTAAAATAATTTAGGAAACTAGAGCTGCTCGCTGAGATCCTCTGCTTTTTATAAAATAAAAATTAAAAAATAAATACAAATATAAAAAAAGTAAAAAATAAATATAAATATAAATTCAAAAAAAAAATTAACAGAAAATCTGAATAAAATAAAAACAAAAATTCAAATAAAAAATTAAATAAATAAAAAAATAAAAAAATTCAAATCAAAATCAAAATAAAAATACAATTTAAATATATTTCCAAATAAAGATTCTTTGATTTCTATAAAATAAATATTTGCTTTTGATTAATAAAAAATCTAGTTATTATTTAAAACATTAAACTTAAATGTAAATAAAATAAGATTTAATTATATTTTTTTGTAATTTTTTAAAATTTTAGATATTTAATTATAAAATTGATTTTTGTTTTAAATATTGTTAGCATATTTAAAAAATTTTTCAAATTATTAATTTCAATAAAAATAAATAAAAAATATCTTTGAGAAGAAATATGTGTATCTAATTAATTGATTTTGCATCAAGTAGAAGTGTTTACTAACTCATTAAACGTGAATAAAGATTTATTTTAATTAATTCCACGTTGATTAGAGTAGGTATGTAATATACTCTTTTGAGTTCTATGATTGATATCAGTTTAAAAAGAGATACAATATATTTATTAATATATATCTTTATTAAATAAAATTAAGAAAAATTTAATTAAAATATTCAAAATATCGTAAATTAAAATATAAACTCCAAAAATTAAAATGGCTAGCAAGACAAAGGAAGTTAATTCAAGTGAAGTTACTTAATAAGAAAACGAAGAAGAAGTCAAGACTGATGAAAAGAAGAAGTATTATAGACCTTCTAGATACACTTGGGACCGCTCTACCGTTACTTTAGAAACCACTCTTATCGAAATACCAAAAAAATCCCACAGAATTCCTAAGCCAGATTTTGATGCTCAAGATAAAAAAATCAAGGAAATTGAGGAATAAATTAAATATACTATCGAAAGAAAGGTAATATATTATAATAAATGTCTTGGAGTTGTCTTATAATTATTTTACTTTTTATAAAGAAAAAAATTATTGAAGAACTCATATTGAAGGCCAGAGAATCAAAGGAAAGTGGCAATAACAGAGCTCAACCCTTGTAAGCATTATTCAAAGAAAAGTTAGAACTCAAGAATACTCTCTAAAAAGAATTCGATGAGGCTAAAAAGAACCACAATTCTGTTAAGGATCAAATCACTGAACTAGTATTACTTTAAATTTTTATTTTTTAAAAATATCTCAAAGGGAGTTAATAAGTGTTTCAATGATTTTCAGCTATCAATATTTAACACTACGAAATGAAATTTCACTATTTTAATTTACTTTTTTATTTAGTTTAACTAATAACAAAAATTGAGATAAAAAATGAAGAAAGCTATGGATGCAGAAGACATTGAAGAACGTCTTGCGTAAAAAATTAATTAAATTTTAAGATAGTTATCATAGATTTTACAACTTTAGGAATAAATTATACTTATGGCAATTATTAAAATACTATTTTATAAAATAGAGAAATTAACCACTCCTTAAACAATGATTTACTTAATCCTACTGAAGAGAAAAAGTTAATTAAGGAAAAAGAAGATTTGGAAAAATCTCTTCCTTTTGCCAAGCCTATTAATGAACTTTAAGCTCAAATCAATGAGCTAAACGTTTAAAAAAAAGCTTACAAAGAAACTTTGAACAAAGCATTTACTCAATACGATGAAGTCAGAACAGAAGTCTCTGGTTTAATAGGAAATTTAGATGAAATAAGAAATTTCAAAAACTCAGAAAAAGAAAAGAATGATCCCATATTCGAAGAAATTAAAAAGGAATATGATGCTAAGATTGATACTCTTAAAGAATAAAAGAGAAAGGTTAGAGATGAATTTAGAGCCTTAAAAGAAAAGTATGACAATGAATAGGAAGATATTAGATATCACGATTGGGTCAAAAAGATTTAGGATGATTTGAAGAGATAAAAGCAAAGAAAGGAAAGAGAAGAGCAAAGAAATGCTTAATAAGAAGCTGAAGAAAGAAAAAAGATTGAATCATTAGAGAATCCTTTCCAAAAACAAATAGGTAAATTATATTTATTCAATTTATCTTGCATGCTAAATTATGTTTATGAAATATAGATGATTGCGAACAAATAGTTAAATATTGCGAATTACTCATTCGTGCTGAACAAAAAGTAAATCAAGTCGAATAAGAAGAAGAAGAGGTTAAGCAAGAAAACACTGTTAACGAGGCTGACTTAAAAAAAGAAAAGCTCTCTATCATTGCTCCTAAAAAAGAATTATAGAGATTCCCTGTAAATAAGAAGAAATAATAACCTCCCAAGAAAACATAAAACAAACAATAAGAAAACACTAAAAAGTTAATCAGCTTACCTCTTGAAATATTAAATGCTTTCGAAAGTACTAAGGTTCAAGCTCCTATCTTCTAAGAAGAAGTTGAAGCTTCTCTTAATTTAGCTAAATAAAAACTCGAATATTTCTAATAATAAGGTGAATAAGAATTAGCTAAGAAAAAGGCTGAATTATTAGCTGGTATCTCAAAGAAAAATGAAGACTCTGACGACAATATCATGGATGATGTAAAAATCTTTTTAGTAGAAAAATTAGTTTTATTTTAATTCTTTTTTATATAAAATAGACTGATAAAAACAATAAGAAATCTCATAAAGTTTATCATGAAAGAGAAACTGATTTCCCTACTCTTTGAAAATGAATATTTATAAAAATAAATTAAAAATATTTAAACATTGTTTTCCCAAAAATTCAAGTTTATTTACAAAGTAACTTCTAAATATAAAATTTTACACCACACTAATGCATACCTGCTCTCTTTTGAATTTAGCAAACCATTAAAAACTAATTAATTAAGTTAGCTAAAATAAGGATTTAATTTTTTCCTAATTTAATGTGATTATAAATAGAAGTTCTTCAGTTTTAAATTAATTTTAAATGTTAATTTAAAATCTAGTTTAAATAAGATTAACAACTAGTTAAATAACTTAAAATATAAAGTTACTCTTTAATTAAAAATATTCTACAAAACTTTTTTATTAAAAAATTAATTAAAATTTTTTTTCAAAACCATAAATAAGTTCAATTTTTTTTTAATTTAAAAACAAAAAGTAAAATTTTATATTGAATATGACCATTCAAACAATCTTTTATAAATAAAAATAAAATATTAATTTTATTATGAATATCGCTTTTTTATACTTAAATTTATTTGATAAAAATAAAAAGTTTTTAGAGTTTTGTTTGTAAAATCAATTTTTATTTTAAAATTTTTTTAAATTTTAAGCTTTTAAACTTGCAAATAAAAAAATAGAAAAATTATATATTTATTTTTAGATGATTGATAAGATTTGATTTATACAATTAAATTAATTAAATTGAAGAAAAATATTAACTAATAATTTAAAAATCTACACATTTAAAAGTTATTTATTAAGGTATATTTTTAGTTTGAAAAGCTATTTAATCCTGAAAATGTTTAAATTTTACGCAATAATAATTACAATTTTCTTTTTGAGTTTATCATAAGGATTAAGTTTTGAATAAAATTAAACAATTTTATCATTTTAATAATTCTTTTCAAATAATATTTGCTTCCATGAGTAAACAAGCTTAAATTAATTGCATGCAAGAGGCATTGATGTAAATGATTATAAAAAATATGATATTGATTATGGAGATCACTCAAAAGTAGAACCTATTCAACTGTAAAATATTTAGTTAGTGTTAATTGAAATTCTGAATGCTTTCTTAAAAAATATTGTAGAAATTAAGATGAGTATTTAGTTGGTTCTAAACTAGGAAGTGGCAAATTTTCAGATGTTTATCTTGGTTATAACAAGAGTAATAACTATGAAAAGATTTTAATTAAAATATTGAGACCCAATAAAATTGAAAAAGTATAAAGAGAAATATCTATATTAACTAAAGTTAATTCAATAGAAAATGTTCCTAAATTTTATGGAATTACAGTTGATAAATACTACCAGGTTCCTTCTCTAGTAAATTTAGACTTTAGCACTTATTTTATAAATATTTTACAGCTAAAAGATTTATTAATTTATTAGATTTTTTCTGATATATTAAATGATTTACTTAAAATTTGAATAAAAACCTATTTTTCTATAATATTAGTTTTTTGAATACATTTAAGGTAATACTCTGAAAAATATAATTCAACGATTCAATGAAATAGATATAAGATATTATTCTTACATACTCATAGAGGTTTTATTTAAACTCATAAAATTATTTTTTTATTAATTCTGTAAAAATTTTAAATTAGACTATATATCAAGCACATAAAATTGGAGTTATTCATAGAGATATCAAAAGTGCTAACATCATTATAAATCATGAAAAAAGAGTTTTGAAAGTTATTGATTGGGGTCTTTCTGATATTTACTTCCCTTATTCCTTTAACTTCTGCAAAGTAAATTATTAAACTTAATATAATACGAATAGCATTGGAATTAAATTTAAATCAGATAGGAACTGTGAATTATAAAGCTCCAGAACTTATATTAACAGATAGTTATCACATTAATATAACTCCAGCTGTAGATATTTGGGCATCAGGAGTTATAATTTTTCAAATGGTAATTTGTTTTCTATTTTATAAATAGTTTTTTGAATTTAGACATTTTTAAATAATAGATGATTAATAGTGTTCCTTTAATCAAAGGTCATAATTCTTATACAGCTTTGCTGGATATAATAAAAATATTTGGGTACAAAGATGTGATGAGACTATCTTCATGGAGTGGAATACCATTGAATCCTTAAATATATAAAGAAATTTAAGAGAATAAGTAAAAAAAATTTAGCTCCAACATAAATTTAAATTTAATTAATAAAAATTAGAATTTATACAGAAAAGGGAAAGGGTTTGAAGTAATTGATAGACCAAGATAATGTTAAATATGCTGATCCTTTGGGATTAGATTTAATAGATAAAATGTTAAAAATTTTACCAGTAAATTAATCAATAATTTAATTTTAAATTATTTTATATGAAATATTAAAAATATATAGAATGAAAGAATAAGTGCTAAAGAAGCTTTAGATCATCCCTATTTTGACAAAATCAGATAAATTATTTAAACTCAAAGAAAAAATTAAAATAAAAAAAAGGGATGATTAAAATTTATAAAAATTCAAATAAATATATTCTATTTGCAACAATATATTTTTTTTTAAACATCTAACACACAATGGCGTATCTTTTATTTATTGGTATAAAGAAAATCTAATATATCTGAGTATTTTTCACTATTAAACCTAGAAGATAACAACTCTTTTCATTCTTTTTTTAAACTAATTAATGTTCTTAGTGCAATCAGTTTTATTTTCTCTAATTAAGTTACACTTTTTAAATTTAAATTAAAAATATAAAAATTATTTACCTAAAATTATATCTTAAAAAATTCAAATTTGGTAGAGTTATCAAACTTTCTAACATAGCAACACCACCTTGCATTATTTCATTGATTCTTTAAATTTAAAAAATTTTAATCAATATTCAATTCATTTTTTAAATTAAAAATTAAATCAATATTTGATTCATACTTTAAATTATAAAATTAAACAACTTCTCAAATTCATTCATTTATTAATTTTAAATTAGTATTTTTAATAAAAAATTTATAACTGCAAATTTAAATGTAACGACCGTAGATGGGCACATTTCTTAATTTTATCACTGAAAATAATACAGCTTTTTTCATTTATACTATTGCGACTATTATAGAAAATAAAAGTTATTTTTTTTATTTGTAATTAATATACTACTCGCATTCTAATTATATATGTTAAAGTTATTATAGCTATGAAAATGTCACTCCAAGTAACTCAATACCATTACGAATCAAATTTCCACTTTTAATAGTTTAATTATTTTTTATGAAATTAACAATTTATAAATAAAAATTACATTAAATTAAGACTTAGTTAATTCAGATTATAGCATTTAGATATCCCCGAGCATATTCCTTATATTCCTTCATAGTTTAAAGAACTATTGCTTTAAAATATTGATAATCAGTTAAATGAAAATAAATTATTATTTTACCTTAACTTAATTGTTAATACTGTAAGATTATTACAATATAATAACCCTTTTCCCAGTTCTAAACCTCCTTTGCTTTTCAAATTATTTCCACTTTTTTCAAATAAAGTTAAGTTAAAATATTCTTAAATAATAAAGTAAAATTACAAAAGTATCAACGTCAAATCTTTTAAATTTTTTAACTTTTTTAGAGCTTTAGCTATCTAAGAAGCTCCTTCCTCTTCTATTTTATTTGAACTATTTTAATTAATTTTTAATATTTATTGAAATTTAACTATTAAAGTATAGTTTTAACCTTAGACTTAAATATAAATTTTGGATGTTATTAAAAAGAGATATTGTTTTCATTAGTGAGTTTATTCCATCATTCTATAATCTGCAACTTTTTAATTTTTTATCAGATTTAATTTATTATCTCTAATAAAATCACTTTAAATTAATTGAAAGAGATATTGTTTCATTTCTATCAAAGCTATTTAACTTTAATTTTAAAATAAAGATTATATAAATAGATAATTAGCTAAAAATTTAATACTTCATTCAACTACTCCACTTGAAATTAACTTTTCGTCATCTTTTTTTATCAAATTTTGAAATAAATTTCGATAATTTAGAATAAAAGATCAATTTTAAATACATGATAAGTCTTTTTCTAAATAGTGATTAATAAAAAATAAATACAGAAAGAATAATAATATTAATATATCAGATTTTAATGGATCTAGCTATAAAGTATCTGGTAGAAACTTTAAGAAAAACAATTACTTTATTATTTAAAACTGGATATCATATAAATATTATTAATTAATTAAAAATCAAATTGTCAAAAAAGACTAATTTAATAAAATTTTATTACTTTGATAACAAGTAGAGTTAATTTTTTTCAAAATGTAATATTAATAATACTTTTACAATTATTACGAAAACCCTAAAGAGGTTGAGACCTTCCATAGCACTTACAAAAAAAATTTAAATGATTAGCAATTACTAGAAATATAAAATAAAATATAAACCCTCTTTGAAAAGTAAAAAATATCGCTAAATGCTAAGAAATAGCTCATTTATTAGTAAATAGTATAATTACAATATCCCTATCGCAAGAAATTTATATGCTCTTCTTGGGTTAGAGGTTTTTGCTTTTTTTAAACTAAAGACTGTATACATGCCCACGGTATCGATGATTTGAATTACAATAAAGACGATGATATTTCAATAAGCGCTTAAACAATGTATGAAAGAATAGATATGAAGAGTCTAACTAGCAGCTTAAATTATATTTACCTTTATGAATTTTGTTAATATTATAATCTACCTTGCTAAAAAGATTATTCTTTAGAGCAGATAAATAATGACAGAACCATAAGAACTACAATCAGAGAGTACACTCGTACAAAAATGTTTGAGGAATTCTATTTAATGATAAGAAGGTAATATCCAGATATTTTTTTAACTGAGTAGTTTTTGGTTTAGGAGTTTATCCGAATAGGTGTAGGTTCAGATGCTTTTGGGTTTAGTATAAAATCGATTAGAATAGCTAGCTATCTAATGAAAAATATGTGCTATATTGCAAAGTTTTAATAACCACCTTCTCTTGGAACTTATTCAAATTTTGTTTTGCTAAGAGATAAGAATCTAGATATTTATGAGTATTTTAAAGCAAAAGTTATTGAAGTGTTGAAGGAAATTAAAAAAACTTAAAAACCGCTAATAGAATCAAACATAAGATAATTAGTCAAATAAAGCTAGTTAACTGAATTAGAGCCATGCTTTGAAATCTATTTAGTTAAGGATAATATGTGCTTATTTAGATTCTTCAAAACATGGGCAATTCATGACGAAGAATTTTTAAAATAGTGTATCCAATTATTTGAAAACACAATAGAAACAAGTGATTAACTTCTAAATCACATTGTTTTTGATTGTTGCTCTGATAAAAGTGAGAAAATAATGAGAAAAAATAAACTTATTGAAGAATATCTTTCAAAATAATATAAGAATCAAAAGAAAAAACTATGTAGATATTGGTTAAGAGGATTGTGTATATTTGAAAAATAACAGTGTTAATATTCTCATGGTATTGAAGATTTAGTTTATGAAGCCTATGATGAAAAAATAGATGACCCAGACTATATTGATTTTATGAGTTAAAAACCACTTTGGAAATAAAGAAGTTATGTTTCTTTATTTTAAGAGCAAGAAATCTTATTATAAAAAGGGCTTATAGACAAGATTCACTCTCAAGAAGATTTAGACAACACTAAAGAGCTTAGAGAAAACATAAGAGATATCATGTAAAAAAATGCTATGGAATTATTTATGGAAGAGATATGGAAATATTATGGAAGAGAAACCATTTTAACTGAAAGCTTTATTGTGAGAGAATTTAGAAGAGTTGGTTTCTTTAAATTAGGATACACTTTAAAAAATCAAATGATTGTAGATATTGTTGCTATTAATAAATGTTTTGTTTCTTAGACAGTTTTACCACCTTTAGTTTAAAAAACCTAAATTTTGTATGCTTTTCCTCCGTATGAAAAAGCAATTAAGCATTATGTTTCTAAAACTTTGAAGGCTTTTATTGAAAAAAAGTAAGAAATAGGTAATCTATTTTTAATTAAGCAAATCATTTTATTTTTTTTATTTTTAAATTATCATTAATTTAAACAAATTTTTTTTCTGAACAAATTTATTTTCCAGGTTTGATTAAAGGTTTTCATATTTTAATTCTTTAAAATGCAAATATTTTTTAGAAATATGATAGATTATTGGTATTTTTAGATAGAAACTCAAAAAATTTTTATTATTTTAGACCTTGAAGAATAAAATGAAGAGTAAAAATTAAGAAATTAGCAAGAAAATTCTGCAAAAAAAGACACCTTTATTGATAATTATGAGATAGATAAATAATTTGAAGATGAAGAATAGATAATTAATAAAGTTAAGCAACAATAATTAGAAGAAAATGATGAATAAAATTAGCCTTTATTTACTGTAAATGAATTCAAAATAAAAAAAGAATTTTATAGAGATCCTTAAGCAGATATTCCTCCTCTTCACTTGATATAAAAGCACTATAATAAACAGCTTGAGGAAATAATAAATGATATTTTAGATAATTAAGACTTTAAAGATGCTTTATAATAAAACATACCATAATTTAATTTAAAGGCCCTAAAAAATTGTTTGATTTTAGATAGCGACACTTAGAAAATTTAGAATGCTATTAATGTACTTCTTTAAAAGAAAACTTAAAAAATGATCTTCAACTTTGACAAGTTTTTATATAATATATATCTTTAGTTCCGTCCTCAAATTAGAGCAACAATAGGTTTCACTAAATTCAAAGAAAATTTTAAGTAGATTTTAACTGAAAAGTATGACTGTGAAGTCTTTAATATGAGCTGTAAAAGCTTAGCATTATAAAAAAAAATATTTAAATAGTCTGTAAAATAAAATAATTAAAAACATTAAAAAAATAACTTAACAGCAAAATCTGACGAAAAGTAGTATAAGGAATAGATTTTATAAGACAAATATATCTTTAAATAAGCCTAAATCGATTTAAAAGACAGAATAAAAATAGTTGATACTATATAATCTATAGACGAAGCTCTTAGAATATTGTAGCAGTAATCATATCTTGGAGTGGATTTAGAAGGCTCTCTTTCAAAGCATGGGCACATTGAACTTATTTAAATTAGCTATCATGATTTCATATAAAACCATTCATTTATCTACGTATTTGATTTCGTTGAAATGGAAAAATAGTAAGAAGTTTTTATCCTTGCAAAAAAAGCTATTAAATAAATAATGGAAGACAAATCAATTATAAAAATTTTATAGGGATGCTAGAAAGATGCTCTAGCTCTCTATCATCTATTTAGTACACAAATTATAAATGGTTTAGATACTTAGGTTGCTCATAATTTTATTATATAACTTAAGGCTCTAAGTGATTTGAAATAGAATAACAAAAAAAAAATAAAGGATTTATAATATTTTAATTGCGGTCTCAACTAAATCCTTTAAATATATAACGCTCCAAATGGTCTCAATCCTTTAAAGGCTAAATTTCAAAGTATATTTGTTGATCCTGTACAAAGTGCACACTACATGAAGTAAAGACCTATTAATGAAGAATTTTTAATCTATTCCTCAAAAGATGTTGAAGATTTGATACCTGTTTTCTTTAATATTCTGAAATCATTAATTTCAAATTTAAAAACTCTCTATGATGTAATAGATAGTTAAACTGCCACAGAATTAATACTAAAAGTATCATAAGTTACTACCAATTATAAATAGAAATGAAAAAAATGAAGCAATAAGAAATAAATAAATAATTATTTTTTTCATTATTTTAATAAATAATGCTAAATGTTGCCCGCCATTAATTATTTATTGTCTGAAAAATAATTTATCTTAATAGTAAATAATTAAATAATGAAATTTACTGATTTATAATTTTATTTTTGTCTAAAATTTGTTTATGATGTAATAGATATATATTTATAAGGTCACAGAATTCATAAAAAAATGATAATAAGTTACAAAGTATTATTTACAATAGTTATTAATAAAGGTTTTTCTTTTATTTATAATCTATTCACTTCATTTCATGTCAAAAATTATATATTTTTTCCAATTTAACTTTTATATTTTTATTTTAATCCCAAAAATATACTTGTTACTTAATAGAAAGATTAAGTAAAATAAAATAAGTTTTTTATTTATTGTGAAGTATTTTTTAATAATTTTATTTTTTTCTAAAATTTAATATTTTTATTCAATATTGTTTTTGTTATTACTTTCGTTTTCAAAAATTATGAAATTGAAATAATTTTACATAATTTTAACTTTTTAATTAACGCAAAAAAAAAAATAACAAGGTTAAAAATCTTACTTTTAGTTTTGTCTATAATTTTTTACTGAAAAAATAGCTATGACTAAAAGAGTTAGTTAATATTCTATTGAATTAATAATTTAGTGTTATTCATGTTGAAGCATGTAAAATTCATTAAAAATCTTCATATTTTTGATATGAATTTTTTAGAAAGCAATAGAGTGAAGATTATTTTAAGTTTAATATTATTAGGACATTCTGAATGTAAATACCTTTATAATTAATAGTTATCTATAAAAAAAGTAGTAAAGGAAAAAAATTAGATCAAGTATATACAATAGAAAAATTATTTAATTTTCTTGATTTTTGATCTTGGTTATTTAATAGAGATTTAAAGAATTTGTCAATAAAGTCTATGGAAACAACTCGTAAAGAATTACTGACTTCAAAATGCTTAGTCGTTCTTGCTTTTATTACTGTTGTTTACTTAGGTAAGAGGTATGCTGTCCCATCAGTTGAAGTAGAATGCATTAAAGATCCTATCCATGATGCATTAACATACTTTAATGATGCAGTTAATAATAACTTATCTTTGGCTAGATTTTTGTAAATTAGTAGCTCTTTGTTGATGGATATTGTATTTGTAACTTTATATGGGTACTGGGTATTTAATATATCTACAGGAAGAGTTATTTATGCAACAGGATTGTTTTATTTAGTAAGAGCTATAACTTAAACATTTATAGTTCTTAGATTTCCTGATGGATATTATTGGGATGATCCTCATGTACCTAGTATTGTAGTTCCATATGGAAGAACAAGCGATTTTTTCTACAGTGGACATTGCGGATTCCTAAATTTATGTGCATTAGAATGGCTAAGAAGTGGAAAAAGTAATTATTTTAAAATAGTTCAGCTTGTTAATGCTTATATGGCTATTGTTATGCTGATATTTAGAATTCATTATATGATTGATATAACAACAGCTATATTTATAAGTCATTACATATATATTTTAGTGGAGCAAAATTTAGATTTATTGGATAATCTTTCACTCCGCTATTACTAAGCTTTAAAATTAAAAATTTTTGAATGCTAGAGAGGCAAAAAGACTGAAGAAATTCAAGAAAGTTTAATAACCTCAAAAGAATTACTGCCAATTAAGAAATAATCAAAATGACTTCCATGAATTTATTTAATTATCAAAATATTTTATTTAACAATGTTAATTTGAAAGTAATTTTATTACATTTTAAAAAAGTAAAAATGAGTATTAAAAGAAAATTAATAATTCGATATGATAAATAAGCTTTGCTTTATAATCAACGAATGAGTGAATAAATTAATGTATATAATAAAATAAAAATATAATAAAATATGCTTAGTTACATTGTCTATATTCAATAATTAGTTAGTTATGTTTGCCTTAAATTAAAAAAAAACTTTATGTTATGAAGCATTATTCATAACAAAAGTATTTCTAAGTTTATATTAATTTTTTCTCTTTAAAATAATTTAAGTTGATAAATTTTTTAAATCCTTTTAATGCCTCTTTTATGATCTGTATAATACATCCTTTTCACTTAATATTTACCTTATTTAACTTAAATTTTAATAAAAACAAATATTTATCTGCATAAGATTGTAATACAAAGTATTGTTATTTATTTAATAATTAAGAGTATTCTTCACAGTAGTGATATATTTTTTAATGGAGATCAAGATAATATTTAGTTTATTGGAATATCTTTAAAATTGAATTACTTAATTTATAAAAATTAATATTTAACCAATAAATTAAGAAAATTAAAAAATATTCACCAAAAGTTTTGTATTTTATAAAAGTCTAAACAAACTTTTTTAGATCAAATAAAAAACTTAATATATTTCATATAAATAATTTAGAATATAAAGGGGAATTAAATCAAGATGAATTAAAAAGAATCTCTTGGTTTATCACCTTCCCATTCACCAACTAGTGAAAGAATTAGACTCGGTAAGTTGTTCGTTGCTTAACATTCTTCATGCTTTTAAAAAGAACTAAATTAAGAATACAATTTAAAATAAAATGAGTGTTCACCAAAAAAAAAAAGAAATCAATTATATAGAAATATTATGACTAAAAACAGAGATGAAATTAATTATAAACCAAAAGAATCTCGAAATAGCTAATTGAATGATTTAAAAGAAACATTTTAGCGTGCTCATTTATATTAAGAATCTCCTTTAAGTATCAAACACTTAGATTCTTTAGTAGAATTTGAAGATAAATAAAATTAAAGCATAAATGCTTATAATAGTATCCATAATGAGAGTTCCTTAAATCTTAAATAAAATTATAAGGATGTATTTAAAGCTAACAGTGTAGAAGTATCTCCTAAAAATAAAAGAAAAGTTAAACATTTTAATTTAAATGATAAATCCCTTTAATTTTAATTAGTTAAAGAGTAAAATTAAATGATAAACAACAAAAATAACATAACATAAAATGAAAATTTCTTTTTTACAACAGCCTCGATTGATTATTGCTAAGATGATAATCCAAATTAGCATAAGCATGTATAAAGAAAAAAATTTAATGAATTATATTACATTTAATAAACAGAGTCTATTTAAAGATAACATAATAACTCAGTGGATTCAACTTAAAATGGAGCTCAAAATAGATTGAGTTTAAAAAGCATTAATAAAAAATCAATAAGTTAACATGAAAATTATTAAATAAAATAATCTAAAAAGTTATTACGACTACCTAAACTTTAGAATAATCTATCTAAAAGTCTACTATAGTCTTATGAAGAGTGCTAGAATTCAATGGATCAGTTAGCCAACTTAGAAAGATCAATAAGTCAAAAAAGTATCTTTCAATACGACTTAGCTCTTCCTTAAAATCAGGAAAAGCTGTTTAGCTAAAAAAAAAGATGGGAAAATAGAGCCTTAGAGTATATAAATGAAAAGAAATATTAAAATTTTTAAGATAGAAAAGATTTTAAAATATTTAATGAAGGAATAGATAAAAGAATTCACAGATATTACATAGATGAAGAGCAAAGGAGAAAAAATATTTTAGTGTAAAAAATGGAAAAAATTATATCACAGAATTAAAAAATTAATTTTATTAATTAGTAAAGAATTGATAATTTTAAAAATGAATAGTTTTATAAAAAATATGGAATTCCTTCAAAAGAAAAGCAAACAAATATTTCAGATATATAAGAAGATACTCGTTAAAATTTATATTCTCCCTAAATTGATAAAAAAGGTGTTCCTTCTTCCTCTACAAGAGCTTCTCCACACTTAAAAAATTCTCTATAAATTAAATTTACAAACAATTAGCTATCAAATTCTAATTCAAGAAGATAAAGCTAAGAAATATCTTACACAGATTTAATTTAAGATGAAAGTTATGGAAGTTTAAATGAAATGCTTTCTAATAAACTAAGCTCTATTTCTTATTAAAAAAGAAAGTAGAGTTCAAAGTAATAAGATGTTTATGAAACATTCAAAATTTTATAAAATTTACCACATTTAAGTAAAATTAACTATCCAACCCAAGATTTTCCTTCTATGAGCAAACAAGATAAAGTGGATTAAACCAAAACCAATCAATAACCTGTAAATAAATCAAAGATTTTAAAAGAAGAATCAGTGGACTTAGAAAGTCCACTTTTATACAAAAAATAAATAAAATAGTTAATTTGAAAATAAAAATACAATTTAATATAAATCTATAAATAAATATATTCTCTAATATAATTTTATTAATATAATTAATGATAATTATTGTTTTTAAGTCTCTAATCTAAAACATATATTTTTATATTTACTTTATCTTTAAACAAATAAAATTTTTTACTAACTCAAATAATATTTTTTACATACTAACTATTATTAAAAATTTTTTATACACAAACAAAATTAAAATGAAATCAATTGAAAAATATTTTTAAAAATAAATTGAATAAGTAAAAATAAAATGGGAATATTTGCATTTTTTTTTTTTCCAATTATTAAAATTATAATTAAACATTTTTACCTAAATATTAAAAAATATTTTAATAAATGATAGACATATGTAAAAACTTTAGAAATTTTTTGAAGAATTATAAACAAAATTTTAATAAATTATTTAATGGAATTATTAATAAACAAAAATATTTAGTGAAAATAAAAATCTAAATTTTATAAAAATTTTTAATATTAAGAATGATCAGAAAAATAAATACTTTTCATAAATATCATTCACAAAACTATCAGTAGAGATTCGTTATTTCGATAACTTTTTATAGTTGATATTATATTACTTTATTTATTATTTTATTAACTTATTCATTCTAAAGAATCATTTCCTATCATTATTGGTTTTCTTTTTTATAAAGTTTGGATGATTAACTTTTTTATAAAGTTTTTGCAAGTCAATTTAAAGTCTAAATTTTGTTAAGTGCTCTCATTAATTTATCTCAAAAATATCGTCATTCCAGATGTCTTTATTTCGTTTATGATGTTCTTAACTTCTTCATTGGTCAAAATATCTTAGGTTAATTCTTCAATATATTATTCAAATAAAATTGAAGCTCTTTCAGCAATTGTATAAGGAAGGTAAGATTCTAATTTAGATTTAGAAAAATCTACAACTTTTGAAGCTATGTATTAACCTGCGATGGTTCCAGCAGGTCCCATAGTAACACCCATAGTCCTAGCCAAAACGTCAACACCGGTCCAAGAAACATTCTTAATTTAATTCATCAAAAAATCTCTTTTTGTTAGGGATCCTGTGACTAATTTATTAAGGTCATTAATTGCAGATAAAAAAGAAATACCAAATGTTGTAATAATATTGTCTCTTAGCATTTTACTGGTTGTTGTTACCAACTTATTGTTAGTAAAAATACTGTCTATTACTTTATTGCTGTAAGGCACTTTTTTTATCATTTCCTTCAAGATTGGATGAACAAATGTGTTCAATTATTTACGTCTAGCACTGTCATCTGATATTTTGATTATTTGTTTTCTGTTCATTTTTGCTATCATATTCTTTACAGCTGATTTGACAGATTCTTCCCATGAATTGCCTTTTTTATGATAGTTAAAAACTACTAAAACAAAGGACAAAAACTAGGAATCTTTAAAGATAACCTTTTAATGTTCTTCCTTTAAAAAATTTAAAATATATCCTGATTCCACCATTAGACTAATTTATTCTTAAGTAATCTAGGAAATTGATATCCTTTTCTAAGTATCTTTTTCACTAATATTTAATCTCTTGCTAACTTAAAGAACAACTTCTTTATATTGCTCTGGACATACTTCTATCATTAAAATGCTTTTATTTTTAATTTTATCTATAACATTTTCTATAGTATCCTGTACACATTCACAAAAAACAGAAAAGTAAGAAAAATTAACAACTTCATAGTTTAGAAATTCATCACTTGGATTTATATTAATAGGTTATCTCTTTTTTAACATATCGATAGCTAATTAAGCAATATTCTACCTCAAAAATCTTTCAAAAGGCAATTATTTAATTTCATTTAATATTATTTCAATTTCTTTTGGAAAAAGCAGATTAAAGCTAATAGATACTAAATACTATTCTAAACCTTTTGCTATAGTTTAAGCCTGCTCAATATGAACTTTGTTTTCTAGAGCTGACATTAGTAAGCTTAATGCCCTATCAACTTTAGAATCACTCTTAATTAATTATTATAAATAACTTTGCTCGCTGAGTACTCCTGATATCTGATTGTACAGTTTATTTTTTATATCAGCTTACTCCAATTAATAGTTTTAACTTTTTGATTCTTTATAAATTTCTTATGATATTTTCTTATTTTTGCTACTTTTTATTAATTTAGCTATGTATGTAGAAATTGCTACATCATTTTTTAAAGCTTTAATTGCAGCTTTTCTAGCAGATTTGTAGTCATACTAGCTATTTTAAAAGTAATACATTATAAGATAGCTAGACAGTAAAAATTAGCCTTCAAAAATAATACCTGAATCATTAAAATCTGTTTCACTTTCATCATCTTAGCCTTCATAATTTAAAAGAAATCCTGAATCAATTATAATTTTAATCTAATCAAAGCTAAAAGGTGAGCGAACTAAGTATTTTAAGACCCAATCTAAACTTGATAAATTAGCTTTTTTTAACCCTTACACAACTTAGTCATATTAGTCATCTGCAACTTCTAACAGTATTAATTACAGCTTTTTATTTTCCCATTTTTCCAAAACTTGCTTGAGAGTTTCTTCAGAAGATTTTTGATAAATAGATATCATTGCTTTTTTTCTAAACAATAAATTTTTGATTGTATCTTTATTTATCAAATAACTTTTATTTAAATTGAATTGATTTTTGTCAACTAATACAAACATAAATAAGAATATTATATTATCAAAAACTTGATAATTTTTTATTTCTTAATGATTATCAAAAAATGTTTAAAAGTCATATAATGCTTATTTATATTAATTAAGTGCGCATTATTAAAATATCAAGTGACGAAATAAACATTTCTTCCCTTTCTTGCAAAGAGTATATAAATAAAATAAAAAATACTTTAATGATAAATCATAAATACAATTTATGGTAACTTACTTTCAAAATAAAAAATTTTATTATCAAAATATTGTTTTAAAATAAGCAGTAAATATTATTATTGACCAAATCTATAATTTAGAGTAACAAGTATTTTTATCTCAAATTTATATTTATTTAAAAATAAATGATTTATTTTTTAATGGTTTAATTGATAATATATTTTAATTTTTATAAGTAGAATTATTAATAAGTTTTCTTGGTTTAACAATTTATTAAATAGTTGATAAAATTTAAAAACTAGCTTTTAGCTTTATAAAGGGTTTCATAATTGATTTCAGACATAATTTTAAGTTAATTTATTCTAAAATTTCAAAAAAATTAATTTAAATTTTTTAATTTTTGATAATAAAGATTATTTTTAAAAGATAAAATTTTAATTGACATAAAAAGTAAATTAGATACAAAAGATTTTAATTTTCAAAATATTAATTTACATTCATAGATTTATTGCTGAGTAATCAAGTTAGATTTTATACAATATGACTTTTAAGTAATTATCGTTTTAATTTACTATAATATATTCTATGGTATTATGTATTATAAATCATATTTTTCAAATTACAAAATTTTTCTTAAATAAGTAAGTATATAATATAAGTGTTTTAGATCAAGCTGTTTATATCAATTATTTGTAGGTAGGTTTTAGATTATTGTAAAGAGTTATTTAATTTTATCCATCAAAAAGTTTATTTTTTTATAATTACTATAAGTAAATATTTCATTATTATTAGTAATAGATGATAATTGATTTAAAAATATCAATTATTATTTTATTTTTTGTGTTTGTATTAAATAAGAAGTTAGTCATAAAAGCATTAATATTAATTAATAAAAATTGATTAAATGCAACTAGCAGGCTAAAATATTATTTATAAATTAAAATAATTTAGTATTTTAAATTAAAATGATTAATTATTTTAAAAATAAAAAAAATTATAAGAATATTTTATTGATTGATCATATTTTTAAATCATTTAATTGAAGATAATCGTATTATTTAATTTGCTTAAGAAACTGAAAAATGTTTCACTGAATAAAAAGTTTGCAACAATTGAAAATAGTAAAATTTTGAGTTTTACTTTTTTATTTTATTAAAATAAATTTAAAAAAAAAGAATATTTTAATTATTAATTATTTATTTTTTAATTAAAACAGATATTAACAAATTGAAAAATTTATGATTTTATTTTTTAAATACTTTTGTCTCAGATTATTTAAACACATCACTAAATAATAATTTTTTTTATTTATAAAGCTTTTGTTTTATATTTACTGAATTATTATTAATTATTTCTAATAATCTAAAATATTTTAAATGACTTTTAATGAGGAATACAAAATTTTCTTAGGTTTTTTCTAATAAAAAATAGTTAAAATTTATTTATGATAAATGTAAATTATTTTCTTACGTTTTCCTCAGGATTTTTATTTAAGTATCTTTCAAGTAAGATTTTATTTTTTAAATTATAAAATAAAATTTAAAATTTAACATGAAACCTTTAATTCACGATAAAAGAATTTTAAAGAACTATTTTTAACTTTTTTAATTATATTATGTAAAGAAAATAAATTGATTGAAAGCTAACAGATTTTTTAAAACAATAAATAATTGAGTTAGTTTATTTATATTTTGTGTTTGAAAGAGTTATTTATTTATTAACAATTTCAACAAAAAACATAAAAAATGCAAGTTTATTTGTTTGTAAATTTATTATATTTTTTAGAAATAATAATTTTTAATTTATTATGATGCAAGTATGCAAAATAAAGCTATCTATTTCAACCAAATCAAGCAAGGACGGGGTATGAGACGGCTCTGTTGATACCGCATTTACCCTTACCTCTGACGATTCTGAAGTAACCCTTTTCACCCCAAGAGGCACCCCAAGAGTTCTTGACCTTCCAGAAGTCCTTACCGTTTTCACTTCCCAAACCAACGATTAAGACACCGTGGTTAAGACCGTTAGGATTGCAGATGAGGGGGTTAGAGATACCACCAGCGTAGAATTAGAGATTGTTGGCATTGATAGCAACGGAGAGAGGACCAATGTTATCGAGGGCAACACCCATAGTGTTTTCAGTGTCAGCAACAGTCTTACCTTATTCAATATCAACAAAGGAAGCAACACCAACAACACCGAGGGATTAGTTGTATTTGCAAGAACCATCAACAGCAGTGTAGGGATAAGCTGATTCAGTTTCAAGCTTGGCAGATTCTAAGTAGGTGAAAGCATTGTCCATCAAACCACCATTGCAACCTTAATCTTCCTTGGTATCACAATCAACCAATTGTTATTCAGAGAAAGAGGTTAAGTTTTACTTTAATTGGAGGACGTATTGACCTTCAATGGAACCAGTGGTAGAGAAAGCCCAGCATGAACCGCAAGAACCTTAGTTCTTAACAGGGGTAACGGCACCCTTGGTGGTCCAATCAATAGCAGTGGGAGCAGTGAAGGGAGTAGAAGAGAGGGAAACCTTAGCTTGGGAGTTTCTAAGTTGGGGCTTGTAACCAAGGTACATGTCAGCGAATTCTTCGTGGGTTAAGTCAGCGAATTAGGTGATTCCGTGTTGAGCTTCGTCGTTCTTGTTGAAGAGTTCGATTCTTCTTAAGTTTTCCTTGAAGATAGATAATCTGGCGTTGTAGTGTTCTTCAGAGCTGTACTTCTTGTTGTAAGTTTGAGTGAACTTCTTGAAGGCAGCAGCGATGTCCTAGTCTTGCATAGTGGAGAATCTTGCGAAGACGCAAGCAGCCAATAAAGCGACAATGATTAATTTATTCATTTCTCTTTTTGAATAATTTACTTATTTATTTGATTGATTTAATTTAATTATTGAAATTGTTGTTATGATTTTACTGCATTTAACGCTAGAAAAATTTATTTAGATTTCTTCAGATGTTAGGTTTTGATGCAATCTCTTAATTCTACGTATCAATCTGAGCTATTTTAGTTTATTGATTTACTTAATTATAAAAGAAATTCTTTTGATTTTTAAAAAGATATTTGAATGCATTTAAACACAAATTTTATCCTGAATGATTGAATTAATTTACAAAAATCATGTGGAATATAGATAGAAAAGAATTAGTTTAATAATTAATGTATTTTTATAGGCATTCACAAAGTATAATGTAATTTACCATTCAAATTAGTTCATTGAAAAAATATCATTCAAATTGCCTTATTTGATGTATGCACCTTTATTTGGTCTTAATTTTAAAAGAAAAACATTAAATTATATCAAACTTAACTTACTTACTTATTTACGATGAATTTTTAATTTTAAAATTCAGAGCATAAGCAAGTAAAAATATTTAATCTAAAGCCCACCAAAAATAGTATGTTGTAATCATTAATTACATAATAGTCAAAATCAGCAAATATTAATATTTGTATTCTGCGTCTATCATTTTTCTAAATATTCAAAATAGTAGCAACTCATAAATTAATTTGTAAATTATAAAAATTGCAAATATCCTAATTATAAAAGAATTTTTTATTTTTTCTTATATGAATTTGCATATTACTGTGTCATTAAGATTTCTTTTATATTTTCGCTAATTCATTAATTGATCTATTAATTGATAGACATCCATCTAATCTTTCTTTTCTTAGATCCACCTTCTTTTTTTCTTAAAATTCTTTGTAATACAAATGTAAAACAATTAAAAATGTTCTATTTTCAGTTTTTATATTTTAGAAATTTAAAAAGATATAAATAATCTATTTAGTTATTTACCTACAAAAAACAAAGAATATTTTATTTAATGTTGAAAATTACATAAATTACTACAAAAAGTAGGATATGGTTTATTTTTTTTATGAAATATATTTATTTCTTTATAAAGATTAAGAGGAATAACTACTATTTATGACATTTCGAAATTTCTAAAGCTAAATAATTATAAATTCTATTTATTTAACAACAATTTATATACAAAAATAAAATGATAATAATAAACAAAAAATAATAACAATAAACAAATATATTTTAAAAGATTATTACTTGAGTATTATATAAGTCTTATATTGGTGATTTACATTCAATTTTCTTTGTAAAAGAATTAATTTCATTTTATCCTAACAGAATTATTCTTCCTTTTATACAAGTTGAATTCTTTTATATCCTTTTTCTGAGAAACAAGTATTTCAAGACAAAAGAAAAAATTTTTCGATTAAGAATACTTGTATTATGGCTACTTTAACAGATATAATAAATATGAAAGTTCTATGTTAATTAAAATATAAATTGTTTTGTAATTCGCATTTTATATATTTTTATCTATTTTTTATAATTTATTATATAGTTGTTAAGTAAATTGAGAAATATATATGCCAGTCCATATTACCTTCATATATTTATTTTTTTTACCTTTTAAAAAAGAGTAATGTAATAAAAAAGTATTGGCTAACATTTAGTAAAATGAGAAAAAATTCTTTTTATTATAAATTTAAGTAAAAAATGATAAATATACTTTAGTAGATGAATTTTCAAGAATATTTTTGAAGTAAAACATTTTAAAATACATTTAATTGAATTTAATATCTTTTAATTTGCATCTTTCGACATTTTTAATGGATAAATTTTATTAAAATATAAAAAATACAAACGATATCTAAAATATTTTTTAAATGATACAATATGTGAATATCCTTAACATTTCTTTAAAAAAATAATTCTTAATATGATAAATAAGTTAGCTGGCTATCTTATTTATTAATAAAAATACATTTTTTTATTAAAAAATGTTAAAATATCTAAAAATATCTTATTTAAATAATCCTTTAATTTAATATTAATATTAATAAAGGAGTTATAAAATTGCAAATAAAAAGGTTGATAGTTAATTAATTTCTTTTATGTCATTTGCATTTATTTCTCTTCACTATGAGTTGTTATTATTTATGTAAATTCAAGCCTTCAAATCATTGTATTTTTTAATTTTTTATTCATTATATATACAGTAGAATATAGTTTAGGTCTTAAATTTTTACTTCCCAAAAACTGGAAAAAATTTACAATTAACTCTAAAAAAATATTGAAAAATTTACAACTTATGGATTTATGACTTAACCTATATTCTACGGTATTATTTAGTATAATTTTAATTTTTCCTTTATCTGAAAGAATAAAAATAATAAATACTATGAAAAAAATAATCTAATAAATATATTGAATAAATTTAAGCTTCTGAAATTTTATATAAGAAACAAATAAAATTATAAAATAGGTTTTGCTAAATATCAAATTAAATACCTAAATTTAAAAATTGTATTAATAATAAAAGTATTTGGATTAATACATTTATTTTTAAAATATATAAAAATTAATACTTTATTATTGATAATTATAATATGAAAAACATTTATTTATACTATTAATTTTTTCAAATTTTATTTTTATTTTTGTAGAATTTTTTGTAATACTTTATATTTAGATTATTTTGTAATTAAATAAAGCTTTTTTATAATTAAAAGAAAAATGTTAAAACAATTTTTTTTTTTTAATTAAAATAAATAAAATTTGAAGATATAATTTAATTAGATAAATAATTTCTAAAAGTAGGTAGAATTATTGGAGTTGTAAAATTATATTTTCAAAATAATTTGATATATTTTGAATTCGTATTAAATTTATATCAATAATTATAATTTTTTAATTCTTTTAATTCTTAGAAATTTTTTTAGTTTTTTTAATTACATGTGAATATTTCAATTTATAAAGATATTCTATTCTATGTTTTATATAAATAAAATTAAAAAAAAAATATACAAATTTATTTATTATATTTTTTAATATTTATTGTTTAAGTTACAAATTGAAAAGTGAATAAACATAAATTAAAATTAAAACAATAATATATTGATTTAATTATCAAATCAAGCAAAGTTCTTTTTAAGAAGGGAAGCATCTCCCTTGGAGAAGTACCAATCTTTTTTAGAAATAGTGGATCTTTTATAACCTAAATCATCAGTAATTTCTTTAACTACTTCAAGGAAAGGAGGAATTTCAACGTTTTGATTTTTATTTTTTAATATGACCTTTAAGATATTGAAACCTTCTTTGACATTTAAGTAAGTGTCTAAGATAAAAACATTGCCTTGATATAAAAAGACATCTCTGTAAGTAATAAGGTTATTTCTCTTTGTATCTGACTTGCTAAGCATAAATGTATATTCTCTATAGCTCAACAATTTCTTGAACTAAATTTCACTACTTTGTGTATCTTTTGAGATCTTATCAACCTTACTAGCACTTAAGATATAAGCATAATTTTAATTTTAACCTCTTCTTCTAAGTTTTCTAAAACTTTTTTTGTTTCCTTGTTCTTCTCCACTCTCAAGGAAAACATCTTCAATAAAGAATCTTTGACATTTCAAATCCTTAGGAATATTAGGGCTAATGTTTTCATTGGGCTTTAATAAGAACCTATTTTTTTAAAAGATAATGTTAGCATTTGATAAAATATTTACTAAATAATTATATTTAGCTTTTTTTTGAAAATGTTAAACAAATCTTTTATAAAATTCAGTTTATTTTTGAAATAATAATTTATTTAACAAATGTGACTATTATCCCAAAAAATCTAATTTTTTAAAGCAGTTTCTGGAAATTAACAACTTTAAATTTAAAATAAAAACGATTAACATAAATGAAGATCTTTTTTAATTTTATTTAAAGTAAAAGAAATGCTAAATGACTTTGCAATCATTAATATATTCATTTTATCTCTGCTTTTTATTTTGTTTAACTAATTTAGTTTAAGTATTTAAAATTAATTGTAATTACTTTCTAGTGTATTTTGTTGTAGAAGATTCAATACCAACACATTGCTTTACTGCATTTAGCATCTTTGTTAGCTTTTCTTCGAAACTCTTAACATTATTGTCAACAATAACATGATTTGGGTGACCTAACCAAGCATCTTGAGTTTTCTTATCCATAATAGCAGCTTCTTCAGCAGTTTCAAAACGAGCTGAGTTTTATTGGTTGTAGAATTTTTCTGCACCTAAAGCAGCAGTAACAAGGTGAATAACTAAATCGTATCTATCATCTCTCATAAGAACTTCATTTAAATTGTTGATGTTAAGTAACTCAGCCCATTCCTTGGGTTCAACATAAGCTTGCCCATCCATTAAACCTCTATCACATAACACAATAGCTTTCTTCCTACTCAATTTAGCTATCTGAGTCATTGTGTTTTCAAGACGAATCTAAAGCTTAAGAAGATTAGTTTAAAATTGAATGGCTTAAACCATATTATAGTTCTACATATCAAGCATACCACCACCATTTGCAATAGTTGTAGCAGCTTCTGGAACAACAAAAACTAAGTACCCTAATTCTTTCATTTTTTCTTACACATAAACTAAACCTGATGTCTTACCACCGCATGGTCCTCCTGTGACACAAACTTTGAAAACTTCAGCCTCTTCTTCATCGGGTGATTTTCTTTCACTGATGATAGGAATATTTTAAGAATTTTAAGCTAATTTTGCTATCTCATCAAATTCTGTATCCTTTGATTACTTTTAAGTCTTTTGACTAAGCTTCTAAGTTAATTAGGCAAGCTCTTCATTATCTTACTTACTATTTAAGTATTATTACAAAAACTTGTATCCAATATACCCTTAAGCACACAAAAGAGGTATCAAAATGCTATTTTAAAGACTTAATTTATCTAAAGAAGATGAAACTTATCCCATAATTGTCTGTAACTATATAAACACAGTAAATATGTTGAAGTGCGCTATATTTGCTTTTGCTTTTAAAAAAGTGTTATAATTATTAATTTTAGTCAATAAATAATTACTAAAATTATTTGAATTATTTATTTAACTTAAAATGACAATCAAAGATTAACAAATCTCCAATTTATTTTAATTCACATTTAATCATACATTTTAAAATGAATATTTTCATTATGCTTAACTTTAACTAATTTATTCCTAAGATACCACTCAAAATGAATGGATGAATGAAAGACTGAATGCACTGTTTTCTTTTAATGACATATCTTATTTTTATCATAAGCTAGATTTTATTTTATTTATTTACTTAACTTTTTAAAGTAATAGTATAGTAAAATTTATCTATGGTGGGGGTAATTAAGAAAAAGATTGCTTACTTAAGCAGTGGAGGGGGTTTACCTTTTTATATAAATCTAATAAAAAACTAAATGTGCTTACTTAATTTCTTTTTTCTTTCAATTTTAAAATTTCACTTTTTGCTAGTAATATATTTAGATTTTTCAAAGCGGAGACATAGGTTAAAAATATAATATTTATTCTTTTAGAAAATATAAATATCAGAAATATTTTGAATGAATTTAGTAAAGAGCTAATAAATTTTCTATGATTTATTATTATAGGCTTTAATTTTAATATATTTGGCTATATTATTAAAATTAACAAAATTTGATTTATATTTTAAGCAGTATTTTGATAGAATAAAGTAATAAAAAGTAAAATAAAGCTTATCCCTTAGTATTTTTTTTAATAAATAAATTGATAAACTTTCTGTGTATATATAATAAAAAATTTTAATTTTCTTCTATTTAATTATAAAAGTAAAACTTAAATAAGAATTACATTTTTTTGTAATTTTTATTAATAATTAAATTCATAAAAAGATATTTATGTTTATTTTTTTATTATTTATTTATTTTTTAAATTTGAATGGAGAAAAACTAAAAATTTTATTGAATTATTTTATTATTCTTACTGATTCTGTAAAATAAAACTTTTATTTATTTAATTAATTATTTATCTATTTTATTTTTTTTACTGAGTAAAAGTAGTTAATAATGCTTTTTAATATTTCTAATTAAAATCTCTTGATTTATTTGATTTGTTTTGTTCTAATAAAATTTCTTAAATTTTGAAAAATGCTTGTCTAAGAATAAGATTTAATTTATTAACTATCTTAATTATAATCAATTAATTAAATTAAGCAAACTTTTTTTTAATTATTATAAGAGATGATTTATATTAATACTATATATATTTAAAATATAAAGACTTTAAAGTGAAATAAAAAGATAGTTATTTATTTATTTTATTGTGTAGGCAGGTAGACTTAAAAATTTTTTTCAATTTGAATTTATTAATTGATTTATTGATTTAGATTTTAGTGTTTAAAATCTAAAAATGAATAGATTATTTATTTATTGATTTTATATTTGAATTGAAAGAGTCGACAGAAATAAGACTTGCTCACTCAGTTGAACAAAGAAGAGCAACACCTCTTAATTTCCAATGGGAAGGATTGTTTGAACCTTCACAAGGTAAACCGACTCTGAAAATGAGATATTTATCTGTTCTCTTGGGATACTTATATACTGGACAGAGATATGTATTTGACATTCTATCTTGTTCGTTGGTTTTCTTCTTATTTATAGCACTAACGTGAAGAATAGGAAGATCTGCGAAAATCTTTTTAGGATCACTGTCATCAAGACCATTCTTACTCCATTTACAACCTTCGAGATAGAGACCTTTAATGTAGACACCTTCAGCTGGAGGCTATTCAATATCTTTTTCTTTTTCTCTCTCTTTTACTGTAGTTGAATAGACGACATCATCAAGTGACCAAGCTTCACCACCTTTACCATCACCTTTCTTGTGGTTTCTTGTTACTTCTTACTTCATACCTGTAAGGAAACCTTGAGGATTGAAGAAACCTGTCAACCAGAACAATATAGGTCTCTATCCACTACGCAACCAATCATTGAGTTATTTATTTCTATCAGACAAAGATGTACTCCATGAACCAAGGTTAGGAAGAAGCCATGAAATTTCAGCACCAGAAGGATCATATAACCATGAGTTAGGTACCTAATTTAATTTAAATTTAAACATTTTAACAAAAAAGTTTTACAATCAATTTTATATTATTTACCTTTGCATCATAAATGGCATTAATAGCTTCAAGAATTTCAGGTGTCATAATAATTTAACCATCAATAGCTAGAATAGTGTCTTGAAGAGTCTTTCTAACTAAACCAATAACTCTTTGCATACGGGTAACTTCTTGATACAAGAAAATATTGAGAGGAACTGTCATACCTCTTTCAGTACTTGTCTTTGGATTAGGTCCACCAAGTTTAGAAACAAGTTCTCTTACTTCAACATCATTATAATCAGGAGGAAGGTTCTTAAGCATATCTTTGGCTTTGTCTTAGACAATTTCTTCTCTTGTCTTACCTCCACCAACTGAAGAATCCTTGGGACGAGTTTCCATAACAGTGTTAATCATTTCCTTACTTTCTTTGAGACGGAAAGTTAAATCAGCATTAGAGTGAAGACCAAAAACCTATTGATAAATGAATTAATATTATTATATTGTTTATTTATTTATTTTGTTTTTTTGTAATTAAATTTAATAAAAAGTTAAAAAAAAAAAATTATTACTTCAGGATTATCAACTGTAGGAACCTTAGCAATATATTCTTAATACTTAATAAGTTCTGCAGATGGGTTTTGAGGAATTCTGTATTTGAACTTCTAACCTGAACCATCAACCATAATATCGTAGAAGAAGTAATCATTACCGAAAATACCATCCTTGAGATAAGTTTCACCATAAGTAATAAACAATTCACGATCAAGATCATCAGTAATTCTACCACCATATTGTACTTCACAAATCATATAACGAACGACATTCATTGAGATAGGAAGATTATGAGAGTTAGGTTGAGGAGTTGACATCAAGTTAGTGAGATACTTTTCAATATATAAGAGAGATGCTTCTAGATCTGAGTAGTTATATTCATAAGGTACACACCAACCGAGAGGACCGAATTTCTTTCTTTCAATGACAATTGAGTGAAGGAAACAAATAGTAAAGATAAGAGAACGCCAGTTAGAGTGATCAACCTTATCTATGAATTCCTGAGTAATGATGGTAGTAAATGTTTTGTAAAGACCAGCCTTAAGACCTTTGGGAGGTTCATTAGTAACCTTGAGAGTTTTTTAAAGAAGACCAAGAGGGAATTTAGGATGCTACTCACAAGTAATCCAAAGACGGAAATCTTCATGAATTTAGTTAATAGGTGAGACTAAAGTTTCAATTTCTTCCATAAACTTGAGACCAAGATGACAGTTCTAGAGAATAACCCAACCACCTTCAACGAAGCCTTTCATGATAACTTAACGAGCAACTCTTTCTTATCCTTCACCCATAGAAACTTTTTCACAAGGGAATTTCTTCTTTTTCTTAGCTAACTCATCAATTGATGAAGTGGGATCAGCACCAGCAGAAAGTAAGAAAAGAACAGGATCCATATTAGAAGATTCTTACCAGATACCTTCAATAGGATAAGAAATAGGATCAGTGAATTCCTTACCAAGTACATTAGAAATAAAGTTTTATGTTGCAATTAAAGTACGATCATTTCTTAATGAACGAACGAGACAAAGTGAAATGAATGAACCAATTTCCTTTTCTTGGTTAATGCTTTCTGCAAAGTCTGGAATGGGGAAATTTTCAGGATCGTTCTTATCTATCCAATTACGCCATTAGTTTTCAGAGCGAGAAATAAGATCAGGAAGTTCTTTGAAGAATGGAAGTGTTTATCCTGAGAAAGTGTGCTTGGAGAGAGCCAATATGTTAAGCCATTAATTATCTTCAAGGTATGATATTTGTTTCTAACGTTCAGACTTAATATCAAGGGCATCACCAGACTTGAGGAAGAGAGAGACATCACCACTTGAAATAGTACCAGCAGTTGTAAGAATCTTGAAAGCCATCATAAGAATAAAAGTAATTTTATCCTTTTCGAAAAGACCACGATTAACATATCTGTAGACGTGGAATGTCAAGAAAGAAATAATATTTTTAACTCTGTTGGAAGGGAGTTGAGCTTTTTCAGAAAGATCTATTGATTCAATGAAAAGCTTTAAGAATTATTCAAGAGATGAATTGTACATCCAATTTACCAAAGAAACTTCAATCATTGTGAAGTAAATAGCAGAACCTCTAATAGCAACAGGACGATATTGTTCTCTCTTTTCATTAATTTCTTTTGTTTTAATTTCAGCATCTATAAGTTTAGCTGCAACTTCCTTAGCTTGAGTCTTGGTATTATTAAGCACATCCATGAGCTCAGTATCATCAAGAAGATTACCTTGAGAATTAATAAGACGTTCTAGCAAGTTCTTATCTAAACGTTGAAGATCTTTTTGGTTTTGGTTTACGTCAGCTAGTAACTAGTTAAGAGAATCTTCAAGAGCCTTTTATTCTTTAGAAATAACTTTACCAAGAAGTTATTATTCTAAACCAGATTGAGTGACTGTAAAGTCAATAATGGTGGTTTTTGCTGAAAGTTCAGGTGAGAATGAAGGATTTGCAAGACGACAAGTCATGAATAGCTTGAATTCCTTAGAAAGTTCCATTTCTGTACCTGCAACATTAACGAATTAAGTTTTACCTTTAACAATAATTTATCTTTCAAGTACAGGGTCCATCATAGGATCAACTTCGTTTTCGATATTTTCAACAATAAGAGTTAAACCACTTTCCATACAGTACTTCAAGAACATATCCTTAAATTTGGGATGAGAAAGAGTAGTGATACAACGTTCAGGGATAATTGAAGCAGACAACTTGTTACGAATCCAATTTTGTCCTTGACCTTGAGGATCAATGAAGAGAGGATAACGAGCAGAGTTTGTAACCATGATACCATTTTGGATAGATAAATCATCCTTAGGAAGACCTTGAAGATTCCATTCACCAATAGTAGCATCATCAATTAAGAAAGAAGTTAATTCAAGGCCAGGTGTGACTGGAACACCACGCTTCTTCATATCAACAACAAATCTTTATTGGGCAAGCTTGTTACGATATTCAGCATTGAAAGGACCACAATAACTAATAAAGGCAGTTGAGAGAGAAACGTTACCAACTAATTTACGCTTTTGATCAGAAATATCTTAAGCACCTTTGCCCCAACGATCTTTTTCACCTGAAAGAGAAGTAATCAAAGTACGAGCAGTATTGATTTTCTTCTTGGTCTTTGCAGCTTTCATTTCAAGTTCATTCTTTTCTTCCATTTATTTAGTGTAGACATCTTTAAGATTTTTAATATAGGCTTGAATTTGTGCTAGATCTTCACGAGCCTTCTCAAGTTCTTTGAGTGCAATAGCTTGTCTACCTTCTGCAATAGCCACCTAAATACGCTTAGGTTTAACAATCTTAGATTTTTAGTGATATTCATAAATAGCGAAAGCCCATTTCAAGATACCAGCAGCAGCCTTAGATGCCTTGGTTGCAAAAGTATCATTAAACCAATCTTCAGATTGATTAAGATAAGGTTCAAGAAGTTCAATAGTTTCTTCATTAATTGAGTCTTTTTCGAATTCTTTTAATTTTTTCATAAAGTTCATATCACCAAGAGTTTAAATACCAGATTCATCATAAGATTCTTTCAAGAAAAGAACAGCCTTTCCTTCCTTTTTGTTGAAAACACGCTCTTCGATTTGAATGGGAATTAAACGAGCCTTGAAAAAGACAAGTACAGCATCCATGATGTATTTAATAATATCAAGAGGTTTCTTGTTAGCCTTCAATTCAACAATATCCTTTGATTCAATAGAGTCGACGGCTTCTTAAGCACGACGCAAAGCAGGAAGGGCAGCTTCAAGTTCACGTTCAGCTTCTTCTTTTTCTTTAGAGATTTATTCAGCTTGAATTTCACATTACTTGTTAGTAGCTGCAACTTCTTCTCCCTTTTAGTTAGCTTTCTTACTTTCCTTATCAAGATTGGCAAGGAGTTAATTGGTTTTCTCAGTAGCTTCATTAAGTTAAATTTCTTCTTCTTTAAGGGAAATTTCCATCTAGTTGATAGTTATAGTAGCTTCTTAAATTTTATTAAGACCAATCTTAAATGATTCTTCTTACTAATCAAGTTCATCATACTTTTCAATGTAAAGAGTTTTGTATGAATTTAAGTAAGACAAGAAGGACTTAGGTGTAACGTAGACTTAACGTCTCATCTTTTGGTAATATTCATCACAAATTTCATTAACCATCAAATGGACATTACCCATGTGCTTCATAAGTTCTTACTTGGTTTCTTCTTTAGTGTCTAACTTGTCAAAGTTCTTGATAAATGTTTCAGCGACACTTACTAGAGCCTCTTCTGGCCAAGGAAGGAACCAATCAATAGTACATTCGTTGAAAAGGGCAGGGAATTTACGAGCTCTTTCACGGAATTTCTGACCAACAGGAGAGAAACAAAGCATAATATGGAAGTTATCACGAACACGATCAACGAAATAAGTCCAAAGTTCAGATTAAGGAGGATCAATGTTACCCAAATTCTTTTCTTTGCAATAAGCTTGACTGATATCACCGAGCCATACCTCACGTTCATCCTTTGCTAATAAGTTTGGAATTTCACCGGTAGATAAGACCATATTAATATATTCTAAGAATTCTTCTTTCTTTACTTCTGAATCAGTCATAAGGAAGGTAACTTACTTACCCAAGTGACCTGCATCATCAAAACCTTTCTTGATATCTTCTTTAAGATCTTTATCAGAATAAGTTTTTGTTACAATAATTTGCTATATTAAATTTTTTCCAATAAAACCAGCAAGACGGGTTAAACTCTATTTACCAGAACCACCAACACCAACTAGTAAACCACTAGAACGAGGTTAACGAATAATACGAGAAATACGTAACAAATGTTTAAGTGCATCATCGAAAAGCACAAGTGGCATTTTCTTTGAAGGGTTACGATCGTTATAGAAGCTAAGTAAGAAATTGCAACGCTTTCTTAATTCAGTAAGACTGTCTATAGCTTCATAAATTTTAGGAGCTTCTTCTTCAATAATACCATCTTCATTGATAACATCAGGACGGAGGAAATCACAGAATAAGAAAGTTTTTTCAGAAGAATACTTTTCAAGAATTTCATTTTCGATTTATGAGAAGGATTCTAAAGATACTTCTTAAATGTATCCCATAACAGTGTCTTTATCTTTATTGTTGACTAACTTATCAGCCAAGACACGTTCAGCTTCATGACGCCATAATCCAACAAGGAAGAGTTCAGGTTTAATCTTCATTGATTTAGGGGCATCATTAATAGTATCCTTCTTACATGTCAAAATACCCTTAAAGATACGAGACAATTCTCTCATGTTAAATACGTAGTGGAATTTAGCAGGAGTAGGAAGCATTGTGCTCTTTACTTTATTCCAGAGAGCAATGGTAGCACTTGTTAAGGATTCAATAACTTTGTATGTAGAATCTGAGAAATATTTTTGCTTGAACATGTGCTTAATAATAGGACCATAAATACCTTCGATAGAAAGAGGTAAAATCATATTAAAAATAAAGAATTAACGTTTGAGACGATTGGGAATATCGTTACGACCACCACCAGGATGATTCATGGCACCAATATATTGCAAGTTCTTCATTTTACGTTAGTTACCTCTTTGAGTTTTATCTAACATATAGAAACCACCAGTTTCTATAAGTTGACGGACAAGTTCTAAAGTAATTTAATCACCCCATTTATTTACGAAGGGCATACTCATATCATCAATGAAAATAGTCATCATTTTGTTTCCAGGAGGAGCAAATTCTTTACCAACCTTGAAATCACATTCAGCTTCAATGGTTGATTAGAACATAAATGGACTGGTTGCAGATGAGAAGTTAGTACGCTTGAAAAGCATCTTTTGAGGATCAAACTTGTTGCAATAAAGAAGAACTGAAGAAGTCTTAGCAGTACCAGAACCACCAATTAAGAGAGCTGAATTAGAGCAAGTATGACTCTTAGGTTAGGTTAAAATGAAATTTAATAACATTTCAGCACGGAAAGAATCAAGAGTGGGCAACAAAAGTTGAGAGAATTACAAAGATTGGGGTGGAACCCATTCTTCAGGACTACAAATCTTCCAGTCAAGGTAATCCTAAGAAACATAATAGTCAAAAACTGTTTCATTTTCCTTACCTTTTTATGGGATTGGAGCATTCTTAGCAAGAAGCAATTCATGGAAACGAACTCTATCTTAAGCTTCATAAATACCACCAATAGCCCATGCCATTGAGTATACAATAAACTTTTCGTATTCTTATTCAGAAAGAGTACGTTATGTTTGAACGAAATATTATAAGCAACCTGTTAGTAAGTTAAGAATGTTAATAACTGAAATAACTGGAGAAGTATCCATCATAGGCTCTTTGCATTCCTTGCTTTGTAATTCAATAAATCTCATATTGATTAAATATTTACGCAAAATGTTTCCAAGCTTATCAGATTCTTCAGCTCTACCACTTGCTTTTCTGTTACGAATCCAACCTTCAATAACAGCTTCATAGCCTAAATCTGTAGGTGAAACGTAAACTTAACCACAACGAGATACAGTAGCAGGAGAAGCATTGTTTAAGTTTTCTACTTCGAAAACGACTTTACAATTTTCAGTCATAGCAATTCTTTCACCATTGGCTAATGTGAGAATTTTGTTATCATCAAGTACTGTATTTAAATTTTCAATCCAAATAGCATCGACTGGACCATCACAGGTAATCCAAGTTGTATGCTTTAATGCACGATTATTAGACTTAGCCCAAATTGTAGAGAAAACACCAGGAATCCAATCATCAGAAATTTCTGATTTGACACCATACATCTATTCTGCAGTGATGGCCTTAGGATTCATTATAACAATTTTATGAGGACTACCTAACTTAGTCAATACTTCAGTCAATATTTTCATAATAGTTGATTTACCAGAACCAGTAGGTCCGACAAGCATAAAACCGTGACGCACCAAGCAGGTTTCATAAAGTTGAATAATCTTTAATTAGAAAGAAGGTGTGTTAATCAAGTAACTTTCAGCATTTATTTCTTCAGGGATCTTCTTTTCAACATCAGGATAAAGTTTCTTAGGTACTTCCTTTAATTTAGGGAAAATATCAGCTAATAAACCATTAAATAGAGGAATATCATCAGCAACTAACTTTGAAAGATTCATATCTCTTAATGATCTCATCAGTAACATTTCTTCATCTGACTTAATTTCTTAACGCTTGGTGTTACCAGCTGTTCTAAGTACTGAAAGGATATTACGTAAACCAAAATCGTAGTGACGCTACTTGGAAAGCTATTCTTCACACAATCTGTAAAGGACATTGAATTTCTTTGCCAACAAGTCAATCTAAAGATAACCTACTGAAGCAAGCTTGACCTTAATAATAATTTCTCTATCGGGAACCATCATAGATACACCTCTGAAGAGAACTTTCAAATTTTCAGGCAATTCTTAACGACCAGCATAACCTGGATTCATTGTAATGAAGTAAGAGACAGTTGGAATGAGTTCAATTTCAATTTCTTCTTCAGGGAACATGAATTTCTTCATGTGTTACTTTCTGGCAGTTGTAATTGATTCAACTTGCATTGCTACGACAGATAAGACTTCCAAATCAATACGATTGAATTCATCGAAACAACCCCAAAGACCACTCTAAACCAAACCTTTGAAAATTTTAGCCATATCACGATATCTGTGTTAATCTGAACAATTAGTGACAACGACAAAGACACCCAAAGTTCTACCAAGATCCTTGACAGTTTCAGTTTTACCAGTACCGGCAGGACCAGCAGGAGCACCACCATAGTACATAGACATAGCTTGAGCCAATGTAATGTAACATCTATCAGTAAGAGGAGTAATACATAAACGCTCTTTAGCACCCAAGAATTCGTATGAGTAAGGAGAATCCCAATCAGTGATAGAAATAATACATTCATCAATATCAGTTTTCCAAGCAATTCTTGTTTGCTTTTGCCATTCAAAATCATTGACATCTTTACATTTCAAGTCCATAGAAATATCTTTTTAATGGACTTAAATTGTGACCAAAGTTTCAACTTTAGTTCTTTCGACAGCACCATTAAGATCTTCAAGACACATACTTGACAAAATATTCATGTGCTCTTTGATTTCATTTCTCTTAATATCCATAGCATTACGTTCGTTACGGGAAAGTCTTTCTAAACCTTCATTAACTTTTGATGTCCAAAGTATTTAAAGACCAAGAAGAGCGATTTAAGAGGCTTAAGAGCTAACGAACTCTTTCAAACCAACTTAGAAAACTTGTTATGCAGCAGCACTTGCAATATCCTTCAAAGTCTGCTACATATTTTATTCAAGCTTCTTTAGCCAGTCTTCGATATTTCCTTCACACTTAACATAGTAACCAGTAAGAGAAATATTTTCTTCATTACGGCCAATAACTTATTGGATTTAAGTAATTTGCTTAAGAGCAGGATTTTTCTTGTCTTTGGCACTTTCAAAGGTAACTTTTGTGATAGCATCAAAAAGCTTTTCAAAATCTTCTTAGATAGAAGTAGGTTCAGAACCTTGTGAAAGAATCTTTAATAAAGTAGGGTTAGAAACAAAGTAGAATCTAGGGAATTTCTTTCTTTTACCTTCTAAATAAGCTTCTAACATTTTTTAACAGTCTTCTAACTTTCTATTAAGATCCGGCAAGAAATCCTTGAGCATGTCATTTTGACAACAAGGTATAACTTTCTTTGTTTCAACAGCTTTTTCCATAATTTTCATCCAATTTTTATCAATACCTTGGAATTACTTTGCTTGTAAAGGCATTTAACGGGCAATATCACCACCAGTAAAAACTGGTTCAAGTGAAGTCCACAACTTTTGTACTTTAACCCACATATCAAGAGTATCATTAACGTCAGAGAAGGTACGGATCAAATTTTCAACTTCTGCTTTGAAGGGAGTAACATGTCTTTAGGAGTTGAAAGTAGATAATTAAAGTTAATCTTCTTCAAGTCTTTCAAGAATGGTACCAACAATGAGACCATTAAGCATACAAGGAACATCTCTCTTACCCCAAATACCAAACTAGAATTACATATCATTCCAGTAAAGATTAATTTCATCTAAACCAGTACGGATCTTTAATTATTTATCAGCAGATTCAGTGATATCTTCGATATCTTCTCTGAAATCAAGTAATTTGGCTCCCATAATTTCTTCAATGTAGAATTGATCAGGGTTTTCATAGTTAAGCTTTGTGTTAGTAATTTCTTTAATTTTTTCCCAGTGACGAGGCATGATAGATGGTTTCTTCAAACTTATAATCAAAGGTAATTATTCTCTTAGAGAATCGATATAGTTTTTAAGATCACGATAAGCTTACCATTCTTTTAAGTCTTTTGGTAATCTACTGCACTATTCACCATATTTACCTGCATCTTCTTCCATCTTTGCCAAATCATCTTTACTAACATCTTACCAAGATTTTTCTTTGAATTATTAGATATTCTTAATTACTGAGTCATATAAATTATATAGTTTGTTTAAGTTCTTGATTTCAGCATCAGTCTTTTCTAATTCGGGATATTTTTGATTTTGTAAACCGAATAAGTTTTCACCTCTAGCATTGATTTTGTACATTTAGTACTTAACATCATATTCATCTTCAAATCTTCTGAGTCTTTCCATGGCTTCTGCAGGACTGATACCTTCAACCATAGGACCATTCTTTTCATAATCTCTTCTAAAGATGCTTACTTAGTTTGTGAAGTCTTTAATTGATTGCTTACTAATTTTAAAATAAATAAATTTCAGCATTAATAAATAAAACTTATTTAAAATTGAATAATGAAATAAAGATTTACAGTTCCTTCAGATAAATTGCTTGCTTGTGTTGATATTCTTTACCTTTAATTTCAGCTTATTAGATAAGAATATCCCAATTTCTACGTAAAAGAGAACGAGCATCCATTTCATCCTTATCAGTAATACCTCCTGGTAAATAGTTATCAAGGAGGGAATACATTTCTTAGACAGGATTAAACTTCATGTCAATTTCTGCTTGTTCTTTACGAATTTATTCTAAGGTCTCCATTACATAACCAAGGGAGTCAATATCCTTGACAGGCTTAGATAATTTGGTAGAAAGCATTTTAGTTTATTCAGTAAGACTATCTAAGAGTTAACGAGCACGCTTGTGTAAATCTTAGGAGTACTAAAGCTTCCATTCTTTGGCCCAAGTAGATAATGAAGTACAAATATTATGAGTCATCAATTCCATAGCTCCGATTTTGTAAGTGGGCACAATTTTTTCAATTTCTTCTTCTATTTAAGAGAATTTTTTTAATTAGTCTTCATAATTTTGAAGTGTAGGTCCATTCTTAGAGAATTTCTTGATAGATTCTTGGATGGATTCCTTGCATAACCATTCAAATTTAGTAAATCCGCTTAAGAATTCATTGACTTTGTTTTTAGTTCCCTAAATAGAACCAGTCAAAAGTAAAATGACTTTAACAATTTCTTTGTCGCAAGCAATCATATCGTAAAATGTTGCCTTATCAGTAGAATCCTTATTCTATTAGTCCCAATTATATAAGTGCTTTGAGCATCTAAGGACAGCAGTAGCAGCACGGTTAATAGATTTTTAAATTTCTTGCAAAGAAGGGTTAAGGGTTACTTTATCTCCATTTAATTAAACTTCTACCTAGAAGAAAGGTTTTAAGTTTTACAAAGTGTTAGCACCAGGAATCTTCTTACCGCAAACACGATACTTCATTGCATTTAAGGAATTTTAAGTTGAATTAAGTAAAGCTTGATAGAAATACCAGAAATAATATCTCTTAATACGTTTGGTTTCTTCAGGGAGAACAGGATCAACATGAGGGTCTAAAGGATAGAGCATAATAGTTTATAATAAATCATCAACTGCTCTTTCAACTTCAACGTTCTTAGAAGTTAAGAAATCGGTCTTTGAATTAATATATTCTTCTTGAAGTTGGACGAAAGAATCCAATGAAAGAGGTTTAGTATCTTGAGGAAGGTGGACAAGAACAACCTTAGAAACAGTCTTTAAATTATTTTCAATACGATTTTCGATAATATCATTAACGTTAATGATTAGTTATTCTAGCTTCTTCAAACCTTAGTGAACATAGTACAAATAGCTTTCTATGTTCATAGAAGTCCAAGTTAAAGTAACCATACCAGGACGAAGCTTAAGATCTAAGTCTTCAATATGAGGAAGAAGCAAATTCTTACAAATAGGTTTAATTTTGGAGTTAATGCGCTCATATTCTTTAAGAGCATAAAGAAGTTCGTTATAGTAAGTCTTAAATTTATCTTCTTGCAAAAGAATAATACGAGCACTTTCAGGAATTTCAATGCCTTGTCTATCTAAGCACTTAGCTTCACGGATTAATTGCATAATTTCTAAGTCAAAATTAACATAAAGCTTCTTGTTTTCGTCGTGACGAACAATAAGAGTAGCTTGAAGAGCAGCCTTAGATTGTTCAATCTTATTGACCCAGTCTTGATAGAACCACATTTCATAAATAGTTAACTACTTACCAAGAGTGTTGTAGGAACCATAATAACGACGGATTTCAGTTGAGTTGATAACATTTTCAGGGAAAATATTGATAGGTCCAGTAATCTTTTAGAATAAATGACGAGCCCAAATAATTTTACCAGCTTCAGGTGGCATATTTCTAACAAGAGGGGGATTGGATTTTTAATCTTGGAAGACACGTTAAATAGTATCTAACTCAGTAGCATAATTGTGCAAAATAGCATTGTAACGAGAAGTTAAATTGTGCTTGAGAGAATCTCTTTTGATTGTAGATTGGAACTTATGGAGCAATTTTAGAGAATATTCAATGTTTCTGAAACGGTTGAAATTGTTATCAATGAAGTTTTATAATTCACCGTCTAAGTGAGAAATTTCAACATTAAATTCAACCCAATCTCTATCGAATTTATTGTTAGCAGTATCTAATAAATTGTGGCCTTTCTTTTTAAAGTCATCAATAATTTTTTTGAACTTGTTGGTCAAGACATCCATACCTTCTAAATTGTGTTTAGCAAGGGCATTAAATTGTTGGATGTTAGAGAAGATTTCAATCAATTTTTATAATCTTCTTACAAAAGTATCAAATTTTCCGAAAATTTAAGCATCAGAAAAATCAAAAGTCTTACCCTTAGGCATATCAGCAACTTTTTCTTTGGTATCATTGTAGCATTTTTTATATTCACAATAAAGTTTAATGCAGGATCCTAAAACTTCAATGAGTTCAGCTGGATCTTATTCCCAAATCATTTTGTATAGGGAAGGATTATCACCATTATCTTTTTTGTTAAGAATGCGATCTTTGCAATTCTTTATCATTTAGTTAGTGATCTTGATAAATAGTCCTGTCATTTTATCAGTAGTATTGTAGAATCTAGCTATAGTGTGTATCATCTTGATTGCATTCATAAGGGCAGGCAAGGTATCAATAATTTGCTGAGGAGTACCATTATAGAGAGGCTCAATAAACTTTTCAAGAGTAGTTAAATATTTAACATTATCTTTGGCTTCGTTAAGTTTATCAGTAAGCAATAGATCCAAACGATTATATTCCATCATTAGTTTAGAGAGTGATTCATCACCACGTGGTCTTTGATTATCATGATTTTTATGACGTTAGAGGCTTGCTTTAACAATTTAGAAGTCTTTGCTCTTTAATTATTCAGACCAATTTGTGATCTTTTGCATTCTACTTCTCCAATAAATTAATTCAGTAGCAGGGCCTTTTTTAATATGAAATATTTAAAAATTAAATTGCAAAATAATAAAATAATAAAATATTTTGATATAAAATATAGGATGTTTTTTTCTTTCTTTAAAAAACAAAACTATTTAAAAATTGAAGCAATTAAAAGTTAAAATAGCAAACAAAATAAATAAAAAATTTTTTAAAATTTAAAGTAGTTTTGAAATTAATTTTTGAAATTTGTAGTTTAAAAATAAATGCTTATTAGTTAATTAAGTAATAAACAAATATATGGATTTATTTTGACAAATAGATATTTTAAAAATATATCTATCTATCTATTTATTTATTAATATTGGTTGATTAATATTTTGTTTGTATGAAGAAGATTGTTGTATAAACATACCTCTTTTTTAATTTGATTTTAATTAACTTGATGATGAAGGACGAGTATAGAAAAAAGAATAAGAAAAAGGAAAAATAAAACTTATATCAAAAACCTTGATTAATTAATAAATTAAATTAGTTATCGCTTATTTATTGATAAATTTCTTTGATATTGTCAGTTTTAAAAATGAAAATATTCAATCTTTATATAAAATTTAAAATTAAATTGTGTTTTGTTTAAAATATTTTCAAAATCTATTTTAGATTTTCAATTAAATTATTTTGTTTATAATCACTTTTCAAGTAAAGCAAAAATACTTAGCCATATTTTTCTCTAAAAATATCTTAATTTTAAATTATTCAGTTGATTTTTCTATTATGATATTTAATTAGAGTGGTAGTTATTAAGTAAAAATATATTGTAAAACTTAAATTATTATTTACCTGCATCTTTTTCATCTTTGCGAACTTCTGAGTCATCATTGAGCTAGCTGCTTATGAGGTTGATCCACTCATTAAACTTCATTTCATAATGTTGCATTTTTTCAGATTCACTTAATCCTGAGATAGCTTCATAATCTAATTTGAAGTGCTCAGTACCAGGACTCATTAAATTAATAGCTTCTCTAACTTCACTGGAGAATTTATTAGAGTGTTGTTAGAATTCTAAAACTTGTTCTTCTTCAGCTACTCCCCAAAATTAGATTTTTTCAGTAATAATATGATCAATTTAGCGAGAGTAAACACTTTCCATTAAAGCATTTAACATAGGAACTGTATTAGGAGTGATTTCACCAAAAATGATATCATTGTCATTACCATCCTATTATGATGCTTTCTTTTTATCATCAGCGGGATTTGTGATACGCAAGAACCAAACTGCTTTATCTTGAATCTTTTCAAGGTCTCCGGTAGTGAAAAACAAGACTGGATCTTGAGCACCTGTATCTTTAATATCATCGTTTTAAGCTTATTCTTATACTTGGTAGTAAGCGAAGATCTTATTTAAACCTTCTCCGCTTAAGAATTACTCAAGCAAATTTTTATTCTTCTCATATTAAAATGATTCCTAATTTATTTTGAAAAAGTAACATTTTATTTTAGTAAACTTATATTTTCAAATTTAAATGTTTCTAATTTTTCCTCTCTTTTAAGTATTTGAATTAAATGAGATAGATGAATAAATTTTAAAAAAAGTGTAGTGGGTTATTTAAAAAGGGCTTTAATTTATCATAAACAAATATATTTACTTCGACAATCATATCCTTAAGTTGAAGACTATCACAAATGGTAGTCTTCATCCATGCTATTCTCTTTGAGTACTTTGAGGACAGCATTTTCCTATATCTATTCTATTATTTATTTAAGTATAATAAAAAAGCCTATACCTTTTTTATTATTTATTTTTATTTACTTTTAATTCATTATAAAGTACCAACAGAGCTAATTATTTCTTTTAAAATTCCATTCATTTTATCACCCTTAAAATTTTTTACAAACTCATCTCTTTTTTCTTCACTTTTATTCTTAATATCCCTTTATTAGTCATGCAAATAGTTTTGCATGGCTATTTATCAATTCTATTTGTATTGCTTTTTAGCAGGATATTTTTCTATGTTTCAATCAATTTCAAATTTTACTAACAGAAAGTGAAACTTTTCTCTCAATCATTCATAATAATGTATATTTTATATTGATTAACTATATTTTGAATATATACAATTAATATGGCTATGAAAAATTGATTTCACAGAATAAAATGGTAGACGCCTTTAAGATTTTATTAATTAATAAAAAATAAATAAAATTAAAATGCGTTGATTATAAATTTTGATTATTGAATAGTCTTACAAAATAAAAATTTATTGATTGTTGATTATATAAAGCAAAAATGTATACTTAAATTTAAAGTCATATTAATTTTTTTAAACAAATTTTGATAATATTTGTGGATATTTGAAATTAATTGGATATTTTATGTTTTTTTATATTTAAAAAATTTAATAAAAAAGTAAATTATTTTTAAATATTAAATTTTTTATGATAATAAACTAAATATTTTGGAGTTTTATTTTTGAAATTATAAAATATATATATATGAAAAATTAATTGATAACATTAATTTTTATTAAATGCAATTCATTATCATCATTAACTAACTTCATCCTAGAAGCATTCGAATATTAATTCACCTTGTTCATTTTCATACTCTCTAATTCTATCTTCAGTTTTTAATTCATTTAATTCAAGAGTTGTACTATTATCCAAAGAAGTGTCTTTAGGATGGAACATATGAGCACATAAATCTAAAACAGTTTTTTTATCAATTTCAGCAGCTTCATTTTCTATAAATTTAAAAATTGAATTAAGAAAAATAAATATTTAATCTAATAATGCTTATACCTGAAGTGTTGATTTAAGAATAAAATTCTACAAACTCAGATATTTTCTCAACGAATTAGCAATAATCAATTTATTATTAGAATGTATCTTTAGATAGATAAGACAGGCAAATTAAAATATGCATCAATACTGAAACAGGAATATTATCTCTTATAAACTTCAAAAGGTTCTCCATATACTAATTTATTTATTTTTTAATGTTAAACAACTTTCTTAAAAATACATGTTTTTTTTTATAAAATTTAAATAAGAATCTAAAAAAAATTAGAATTTATGTTATTGATTATTATTTTTTATCTAATAATATTTTCTTTCAAATCTTATTAATTTTATATAATATCTTTTAAAACTAATTAAAAGTTTATTACTTAACATGTAAAATCTGGATGCTACTCAAAATACTAAAGAGTATAAGGAGTATGAGTTATATTTGCAAGCATGGCAGAAGCAAAGTCAAGACAGAAAACATGAATTTTACCGTTGGTTGACTTTTTAATCAAATGGACAACCCAGTCTATCATTCCTTATTCAACTAAAACAGGAATAACACTTTCTTTTATTGAACATTTTTAAAGTATAGCCAAGCAAAAACGTTAAGTTACACTACCATTTTCTTGTTCTTTTAATATCTATACAATAAATTTATTAATTTGTAAAATGAGTTATAAGGAGCAATATATTTTAAGAATTCTAAAATTTAAAAAGAATTTATGTTTACCTTAATAATTTTTTCAATAACTGCATATTTGTTACCAAAGGTCAAGTATTCTACTCCTCTAAGTGTTGAACTAACTACACTAACTAAACTTGTTATAGCGTGCTTTAAGCTTTAGTTATTTATATCGAGCATCTTAATCAAAAAATCAAATTTTTCGCTAGCTTCTATATCAAATATATCATTACGGATCAATTCATAAACCAGATTTTTTCTCAACTCAGGAGCTATTTAAAGAGCATTTACTCTCAAGGAAAGAAGAGCTTCAATCATTCCATCGATATTATTATCTTTATAATTTTTAAATAGCTTTGTTTTATGATCTTGCATTACTGTTTCTGTAATAAGCTCATTGCCTTCAGGTTTACCTTCATTTATTATAATTTTTTGATACTTTCCTAATTAAATTTTATAATTTTCTAGTGTTTCGTGGAGATTCTCATTTTGCACAGACTATAAAATAAGCATTAAAAAAAAATATTTATTATTTGAATTTAGACAAATAATATTATTTGTTGATAATTTACTTCTTTAAAAGAGTGCATTATTTACAACAAATTTATTGAAACTGAAAATATCTATCTTCCTGCTTGTAGTATTTGCTAATATTTTTTATTTTATGCCTTCATTTCCTTTTCTAAATTAATTTCTCTCTTAGTTTTGTTATTATCGCTTTTAAGAAGCAAGTAGAGTCGTGGTAAATCATCATTCTTAATTTAATTATTTTATTTTGATTACCTAGTATTTGATTACTTCTATTTCCACTCTGCTTCAAAGCAATCCATGGTATTGTTTAAACCTAAGTATTAAAAGTACTCCTTTATATACTTATTGATTTCTGCGCAATCAGGTAAGTTTTACATTTTTGAACTATTCTAAAATATGAAATTGTTTAATAAAAATAAATTCTAAGCTATTAATTATTTTTGTTATTTTTAAATTACTAACTTTTAATGTACTTTTTTCACAACAACTTTTTATTACTTTAATTTTTTTGTTTTTTCAATCAGCTTTGTTAAATTTTTTGAATATTTATAAATTCAAAAAATTAATTAATATAATCTATCTCAAAATTGAAATCGATTTATTAATAATTTACAGATTTATTATACACTATTTAATTTTATTAACTCATCTTTTTTACTTTTAAGAATATCAAAAACATTTATTTTAAAAGAATTAAAATTTAAATGAAATAATTACTAATTATTTTGGATAAGTATTATGTTAAATTAATTAATTGATTTGATATAAATAACTCTTGAATTATTTACATTATTATATAGATAAATTATTTTAATAAACGCTTAATAATTTTTATTTTATTATTGTCTTTATTGCTTTTTACTATTAAAATTTCATTAATTACTCTACCAATCTACCGAAAATGATTTTGAAATTTTACTAACCCATTACATTACTATTTATTCATTTGCTTTGGGAAAAGCTTATTTACATGTTTATTTTACAGTATCAATCATAAAATGGTAAGCCTCTATGAGATCTTCGACATCACGAGCAGAGTATTCTAAAAATTCAGGATCTATAGGTCTTTACAAGAAGTAAAGAGATGGCATTTCTTAAAACTTTTAATGCATACTATCCTTGAGTAGATTAATACCATGGCTAGTATTATAGATCTACAAAATATCATTCAGACCAGGTTACTTTAATTCTTCCAAACTTTTTAACAGCTGTAGAATATTTTTATCTTCTTTTGTGTTCAGACCTTTAAATTTATTTTTTGTAAAATCTATTGATAAAATTGTATTTATAATTAATTATACCTATATATTTCTCTACGTGTAATTTGAAAGCATGGATTGCAGCTGTATCGAATACATTCTTAGGACATGCTTTCATGAATAGATGCAAAGCAAGAGAATCACGACGGCAGTCATGGAATATTTTGATTATATTCACATCTTGCATAATATTTTAAATGCAATTTATCATATTTTTTTCTAAAATTTTATCTTCTTTAATATTTTAAATTGAATAGATGTCAAATATAAAAATTTAAGAAAAGTCAGGTTTAAGCTAGATAGAAATTTAAACAAGTTAAACATATCCTTCCTTTCTGAGTGCTCCTTCTAAGTCGACTCCTACATGCTTAAATTTAGGGATAGTGTAATTAGCATAATTAAGAGATTCCTCATCATCAACGACAACGATTCTCATTGTACTAAATTTATTTATGATGCTTTCATTTAATTATTCTGTTTTAAAAGTAATTTCTTCTAAAGGGCATTTGCAAGAATAAATATTAGAAGCTCCTTTTTTAGGATTAACATCATATTTAATACAGTAATCGTGTGTTTAAGTTCTAACAATATTAATTTTTTACTTAATAAGGAAGCTTCTGAAAATATTTCTAAACTTAGATTAACTTCCAAGGGCCTTTACATTTTAAGGGAACTCTTTTATGATTGTTTATTCTAATCTATCTAAGCTAAATATGTTTTTCTTATTGTGATGTATAATTTCCAAAGCCCTTTCTTTCAAATGCTCGATTTCGTTATCATAACTAAAAATCTTTTCTAAGGCCTATTACTTTTCTTCTGAAGTTAAATTCTCTGTTACTTTATCTATAAATTCTTAATTTTTTTCTAATTCATCGAAATACTCCTTAAGATTCTCTTTTTTAATATATTAAAGAATTTAGTGAAGTCCTGGTTCAGTTTGCTTGACTACAGAGTAATGCTGCTTTCTGATTGAACTTTCCATAATAGGAAATCCTTCTGATTAAACGTATTATTTGCATAAATCCACAATCTAATTAAAGAATATTTGCTTTTGGTTTTCAGGGTATTCTAATAAAACAACAATAGGCTTTTTTTAACCTTATGGTAGGACCTATTTATTTTAGTTAAAATTGATTAATGATATTTAAATTTAAAATTGAATTGCAAATATTACTTTAGACTCAAAACAAATGTCCGATAATGCATTAAGTATATACTAATATTTTAATTTAAAACCTATCTTATTGAAGCCTATTCTATTATACTCTTTTTCTATAAATTATTCAGTAAAGTCTCTATCAGGGTGTTCTCTTCTTAATAATTTATAGAAATCGTAGAGAGCTTTTTTATGATAAAATTCCCTAATATTTTTTCTAATTGATCTATCAATATCTATTTCTTCTTAAGTGTATATTCTCTATAACTTGTCTTAGATTTCAAATTAGTAATCATAGACATTTAAGTAGCTTGGCTTAGCTTCAATCCAAAGTGCCTTTTAATTATAATCTTTAGGCTTTGCATCCAAATCAACTTCATCTTCGTTCTTAACGTATATCAAATCGTCTATTCCATGAGCAAACTTGCACTGCTGAACGCTAAACATACACAGCCCTCTTAACCAAAATCTACAAAGTTATTACTTTTCATCATCCATTTTACTACTTAAATATTCTAATCTTTTCTATTCTCTTTCTTAAGGGTTAGGTGGTGAAAATAATTTCTAAGGCGGTCTTGGTTCTTCAGGTCTTTTTCTTGCTTTAAATTGGTCTTCTTTGTTACCATTTTTTTATAATTACTTTGAATCTTCTTACTTGATTTCTTCAAAATCTTCGTTATCACTCATTGAAGATAAAGATATACAATAATCTGTGTATTAAATTTTTTTATTTATTAATTATTTATAAATCAAAAAAAAAATAAATAAATGTTAAATAACTCTTTTTCTAATAAATTCTGGTATTAGAAATATATTTAATAATTTATTCTTATGTTTAAACCATCTAGTTTGTAGGTAATTAAAGTTGCTACTAAAATAATCTAATTTATTTTTAATAAAAATTACTTGAATAATAATGCAATCTTACCCTTGTATTTAATATAAAATTTACAAAATCAGCTATTATAAAAGTCATTAAAAAATAAAAGGAAAGAGGTTAATTAAAATTGATAGAATGGATAAATAGTGAGTCTACTAATTTTTCTATTTTTTAGTAGAATTTATACTTTAAATATCTTCTAAACAGAAACAAATCTTGGAGTTAAAGAAATTTCTAAGTTATCAAATATATTATTCTTATCCTGTTATACTTTTAAAAATTAAAAATAAAAATAATTAGATTTCTACTTCTAAACTTCAAAAAAGTAAAACCAATAAATAATCAATAATTTTCATTTTAATTTCTTATTTTATCAAAAATTTAAAAGTTATTTGTTATAATAAAGTGGAATTTATAAAATAATTATGATATTTTTTAATTTTTAAATTAAGAAAAAATATTTTAAAAATTGAATGATATAAATATTTAATTTTTACCATAAATTTTCTTTTAATTTATATTATATTATTAAAAATAAATATTAATTTTTAAAGAATCGATAATTTTTGATTTAAAATAAATAAATTTGAACTAAGAAGGATATGACAACTAATATTAATTAAAAGATTTGTAAAATCTAAATGAAAATTTAATTAATAATTTTATCTTCCCATTTTATTAAAAATATATATGATACAATCATTATTCAATAAATCAATTATTTTAATCAAGTTAATATGTTTTTCAGCAGGACAATTATTCCATAGAAACAAAACGGCATTCATTAATGCTAAAGGAAGTAGTAGAATTGAGTTATCCAGAACTGTTGGAGCTAACGCATTAAGATTATAATTCAGTTTTTTATCCATGACAGTTAAAGCTAGCGTTGAAAATATAATTTTCACCACAAACGTTAGTAACAAATAGTGAACCAGGTAAGGCATTAATACTCCAACAGTTATTGCTTTCTTAAGTTTCAACCTCACCTTTGTGAGTGGCAACGAAATATGAGCTAGCAGCTAATAAAGAAATAGCTAATAAACTGATTAAGATAATATTTTTAGTCATTTTCTCTTTAATTATTTTACCTTTAATTATTTTTATTTTTATTAATTATTTTATTTATTAAAGTTTAGATTTGTTTGATT